AGTACTGAGTCAAGCAATACAACCACTTTAGCATGCATGATTGATACAGAAGCTGCTGCTGTTTTGGCGGTTATGAGAAGAAATGTAAGATGGGGAGGTCGATACATGTCTGGTGATGATCAGCTTGAACACTCGTTGATTCAGTCACTTAAAGCTCTTAGAAAGCAGTTGTTCTCATGGAACCAGCCTTGGCCTACGATAAGTCCCATGTTGTATCTTCAGCCCTTTCTAGATGTGATACGGTCGGATGAAACTGGTGCACCCATAACGAGCATCGCTTTGTCATCAGTTTACAAGATCCTAAGTCTGAATGTGATTGATCAAAATACGGCAAATATTGAAGACGCCATGCATTTGGTAGTTGATTCTGTGACAAGCTGCCGATTCGAGGTGACAGATCCTGCATCGGAAGAGGCTGTGCTAATGAAGATACTTCAGGTTCTTCTGGCATGCATGAAAAATAAAGCATCAGTTATGCTAAGCAACCAGCATGTATGCACCGTCGTCAACACTTGTTTTCGAATTGTCCACCAAGCAGGGATGAAAGGTGAGTTATTGCAACGTGTAGCTCGCCACACGATGCATGAACTAGTGAGGTGTATCTTCTCACATCTCCCCGATGTTGACAGAACAGAAAACACACTTGTCAACAGAGCTGGAAGCATCAACCAAGAGGTATGATATTGGGTCCTTGTTATTTCCTTCTTGTTGATTACAAGTCAATTTGGGCTACAAGTTTCCTATAGGACGCTAAGAGAGTAAAGAATAACAATGCTAGGTTTCTTCACTTGCAACCTTATAGTAAAAGAAAAAGGCGAGGAACTATCTTCACTTTGATAAAAATGTCAGAGAATGATAGATGTACCCATTCTTTAATAACACATCTGCAATCTACTTTAGGGCTTCAAAATTGTAGCTCTTATCTTCTTTCAGATAGAAATTTATATTTTTCCTTATGCGAGTCAAAGAGCACTACTAGGAAAAGAAGACCATCAGTTCTGCAGCTAGTTGATAATAAATTTGATACGGAGGAATTTCGCCAACAGATTCTGGACTTTTATGCCTTTTTCTCTCGTTTCATATATATATATATATATGCACAATAGTGATTGTGTTTTGCGTGGTTGCAGAAAGATGGAATAGACAGTGATTATGCCATTGTGAGTAAACCAGTGGAGGATGGAAATGCCAATTCCGAGTATGATACTGAAAACTCTGTCGCAACGTTTGCATCTGGTGCTCAAAGTCTGATGGATGATGGACCAGTTGGGCCTGGAAGCAGAAAGCCGGCTTCTCCGTATGATTTGCATTTATTGACAGAGCCATATGGAGTGTCAAGTATGGTGGAAATATTTCACTTCTTATGCTCTTTGTCAAATGTGGTCGAACATGTTGGGATGGGTACCCGATCAAACACCATAGCATTTGACGAAGATGTGCCTCTGTTTGCGTTGAAATTGATCAACTCAGCTATTGAACTGGGTGGATCGTCCATCCGCCATCACCCAAGATTGTTAAGCCTAATTCAAGATGAGTTATTTCGTAACTTAATGCAGTTCGGCTTGTCAATGAGCCCACTTATTCTTTCGATGGTTTGCAGCATTGTGCTCAATTTGTATCAACATCTACGTACTGAGCTCAAACTGCAGCTTGAGGCATTCTTTTCATGTGTGATTCTGAGGCTTGCACAAGGAAAATATGGGCCCTCGTATCAGCAGCAAGAGGTTGCTATGGAGGCTCTTGTGAACTTCTGTAGGCAGAAGAGTTTTATGGTGGAGATGTATGCCAATCTCGACTGTGATATAACTTGCAGCAACGTGTTTGAGGAGCTATCTAATCTTCTATCGAAGAGCACGTTTCCTGTGAATTGTCCTTTGTCCGCAATGCACATTCTTGCTCTTGATGGCTTAATCGCAGTTATTCAAGGAATGGCGGAGAGGATTAGTAATGGATTGACTGGTTTGGACTTAGGTCCTGTCCATCTTGATGAGTACACGCCTTTCTGGATGGTTAAGTGTGACAATTACAGTGATCCAAATCACTGGGTTTCATTTGTCCGCAGGAGAAAATATATCAAGAGAAGGTTAATGATTGGAGCAGATCACTTTAACAGGGATCCAAAGAAAGGGTTAGAGTTTCTCCAAGGGACACATCTTTTGCCGGACAAACTTGATCCCCAAAGTGTAGCTTGCTTTTTCAGATATACTGCTGGGCTTGATAAGAACCTTGTTGGAGATTTTCTTGGGAATCATGATGAATTCTGTGTTCAGGTTCTCAATGAGTTTGCTGGGACTTTCGATTTCCAGTACATGAATCTGGATACTGCACTCCGACTCTTCTTGGAAACTTTCAGGTTGCCTGGAGAATCTCAGAAAATACAGAGAGTGCTTGAGGCGTTTTCTGAAAGATACTATATGCAGTCTCCTGAGATTCTCGCTAACAAGGATGCTGCTCTTGTGTTATCATACTCTATTATCATGCTTAACACTGATCAGCACAACGTTCAAGTGAAGAAAAAGATGACGGAAGAGGATTTTATCCGCAATAATAGGCATATCAATGGAGGAAATGATCTGCCTCGAGAATTTTTGTCTGAACTCTATCACTCCATCTGCAATAATGAGATCCGGACTACTCCAGAACAAGGTTCGGGCTTTCCTGAAATGACTCCGAGCCGTTGGATTGATTTGATGCATAAATGTAAGAAAACCGCTCCGTATATCATGGCTGATTCAAGGGCTTATCTTGACCACGATATGTTTGCTATCATGTCTGGTCCAACAATTGCTGCCATATCAGTCGTTTTTGACCATGCAGAACATGAAGACGTTTACCAAACATGCATCGATGGATTCTTGGCCATTGCTAAAATTTCTGCCTGTCATCATCTTGAAGACGTGCTTGATGATCTGGTAGTCTCTCTCTGCAAATTCACAACTCTGTTGAATCCATCATCTGTTGATGAACCGGTTCTTGCATTTGGTGATGACGCAAAAGCAAGGATGGCAACTATCACTATTTTTACCATTGCCAACAAATATGGAGATTACATCCGTACGGGTTGGAGGAACATATTGGACTGCATCTTACGGCTGCATAAACTTGGGCTTCTGCCGGCTCGTGTAGCCAGTGACGCAGCTGATGAATCTGAACATTCATCTGAGCAAGGACAAGGGAAGCCTCTCGCGAATTCCCTATCTTCAGCTCATCTACAGTCAATGGGAACTCCGAGGAGATCTTCCGGATTGATGGGAAGGTTTAGTCAGCTTCTTTCACTTGATACAGAAGAGCCAAGGTCACAGCCTACTGAGCAGCAGCTTGCTGCTCATCAACGAACACTTCAAACAATTCAAAAGTGTCACATTGACAGCATATTTACCGAAAGCAAGTTTCTACAAGCTGAATCTTTGCTGCAGCTAGCGCGTGCTCTCATTTGGGCTGCAGGTAGGCCTCAGAAAGGAAACAGTTCTCCAGAGGATGAGGATACTGCAGTTTTCTGCCTGGAATTGCTAATTGCAATCACTCTTAACAACAGAGACAGGATCGTTCTTCTGTGGCAAGGCGTCTACGAACACATAGCTACTATTGTTCAGTCAACGGTGATGCCCTGCAACCTAGTGGAGAAAGCTATATTCGGTCTGCTTCGCATCTGCCAGAGACTACTTCCTTATAAAGAAAGCCTAGCTGATGAGCTTTTGAGGTCTCTTCAGCTTGTGCTGAAACTGGACGCACGTGTTTCCGATGCCTATTCTGAGAATATTGCTCTTGAAGTCAGCCGTCTTGTGAAAGCCAATGCTAATCACATCAGGTCTCAGGCCGGATGGAGAACAATAACGTCGTTACTCTCCATAACAGCGCGGCAGCCTGAAGCTTCTGAAGCAGGATTTAATGCCGTATCCTTTGTTATGTCCGAAGGAACTCACCTGTTTCCCGCCAATTACGTACTCTGTGTTGATGCTGCAAGACAGTTTGCTGAATCCCGAGTGGGGCAATCCGAACGATCAATCCGTGCCCTCGATCTGATGGGAGATTCGTTGGAATATTTGGGTAAATGGGCTCGCTCAGCCAAGGAGAACATGGGAGAAGAAGATTTTGGGAAGGTGTCACAAGATTTCGGTGAAATGTGGCTGAGGCTTGTTCAAGGACTAAGAAAAGTGTGTTTAGACCAGAGAGAGGATGTCCGAAACCACGCGTTACAGTCATTACAAAAGTGTTTGGGCGGAGTGGACGGGATCAATCTAGCTCATAGCATGTGGTCTCAATGCTTTGACAAAGTAATCTTCACGGTTTTAGATGACTTGCTTGAGATTGCGTCTGGGTCACAGAAAGACTATCGGAACATGGAAGGCACATTGCTTCTGGCGATCAAACTTCTGTGCAAAGTGTTTCTTCAGCTGCTACAGGAGCTGTCTCAGCTATCAACCTTCTGCAAGCTATGGCTCGGTGTTCTAACGAGGATGGAGAAATACATGAAAGTGAAAGTAAGGGGCAAAAAAAGCGAAAAGCTGCATGAATCTGTGCCGGAGCTTCTCAAGAACATATTGCTTGTGATGAAGACGAAAGGCGTGCTTTTGCAGAGGAGTGCTCTTGGTGGAGATAGCTTATGGGAATTGACATGGCTCCACGTTAATAACATTGCTCCTTCTATGCGGCTCGAGCTATTCCCTGATCAAGACTCAACACAGCTTGGTGATGATGAAACCGCCTTCAACACACCGAATGGCTTAGCTTCTCCTGAAACTGGTTAGTGACACTTTAAAAATGGAAGATCATTAGATGAGTTTGTAAAATCATCCATATAACTGTGAAAGTGAAGGCTTTTTGTATAATCTTTCTATAAGTTTTTTTTTGTAATATATACGTGTTTCTAATTCAGAGTTCGCCGAATCAAATTAAAATAAACCCCATATGATTTAATTGATTATCAACATTTAACAGCATGAAACATCTGTGGGACCCATCAAAGAAAAATATCAGCTACTGTTTATTTTTGCTTCCACGAGTTTTTTATTTTATTTTTTCTCTTCTCTCGTTGAGTCGTTTACGTCGAGAACTTCTCCTCCCATTGATTTTCCCGAGAAATTTAAACCCATACGAATCGTAAATTTCTCCGATTGATTTTCTGAAGAGGAGGAAAAGAACAACCAACAGTGAATTATAAAGAGGAGGAAGTTCAATGGAGTCGCTAGCATCGATTTCTCCTTCGTTAATACTCCCTCCAACCACCACTACTACGATCTCCGCTTCAACTTCACGATCGGTACTGATTCGTCTTCGTCCCCACCGTTCTTCTTCATTTTCCGGCTTGTCCAGCGCCGGGAGGCGGATTTCGATTTCGAGGAGATTAAACTTCGTTAGCTGTAAATCGACTGGCGGCGGAGGAGGAGGGTCAGAGAAGGCGGGTGGCGAGGAAGACGAAAGCGAGGAAGTTGAAAGAGCGCTTCACTTGGACGGTACGATCCCTGGGACTTCCGATGAGTTTGTGAGGCAAGTCTCGTCGCGCGCTTACGACATGCGTCGGAAGTTAGAGCAGACGTTTGATTCCACCAGCTATGACGGTATAATCTCTAATCGTTTCCTTCGATTACTCAGCTCGGGAACTGAGGTTTCTATTGCGTCTTTGTGTGTTTACGCTCTCAGTATCTGCGTTTTCCCAGTTTTCTTTTTGTGATGAACAATACATTTCATTGACTGATACTTCCGTAACTATATATTTCTAACTAACTTGAACATAGTTTTCAGAGGTTTTTTCTAAGAAATCTTGTTATTGTATTGGTTTGATTACTCGGTGCGTTGTTTTCATTAGCAGGAGTTGAACAATGTTAGAGTTTAGTAACATTTGTTGATTTCAGCTGAACTTTGATGAGGAAAATTGTTGATTTCTGCTCTCTGATCTTATCGATGCATATGAATCGTCTAGAAGATTGCAAGCAAATAAACTACTTGTAAGCTTGTTCATCGAAAAAAGATCTAAACTTTGATGTTGTTCATATAATATTGCTCTGTATCTTACTTGGGTGATTTCCGTCGAACAACCCTGTCTCACTGCGCCTTCTCAACAATCTCAGTGTTGGAGTCTAACCCATGGAGAGGAGACTCGAAACCGGTATATGTACTAACACATAGAGAAAACCAGATCTGCACCATGAAAACAAGGACAAACCACAGGTTTCAAACTCACTCCACTCAACCTACTTTTAGTTTTCCTCTGGCTTGCATTGCATGACGTTAATTAGCAATTCTTGTGCAACAGTGAAGTAGAGAAAGAGCTTGGACTGCTGTTCTCTAAAAGGATGAGCAGCAAGACAAAGCAGTCTAGGCCCGAAACGAAATTCGATATGCTCGTTGAAGACATTCGAGATGGAGTTCTGGTAAGTTTTCTCAACGAATCACTTCCCAGACCTTGTGAAACTCCAATAAGATTGATATGTTCTCTCTTATCTTAAAGGTTTTCGAAGATGTGAATGAGGCTGTTCGATACTGTGATATATTACAAGGTGGAGGAAAAGGGTGTGAAGGCGTGGCTGAGATTGAGGCCTCATCTGTAAGATATCTTCATCTCATTTTAGAAAGTGTTGCCTTAATTAAATAAAACGTTTGAAATCATCTATAGCTTTGATTTTGATGTTTGTGTTTGTCTGAATAGGTTTTTGATCTTTGCCGGAAAACAAGGTCTCTGGCGGTGCTCTTCCGTCGTGGAAGAACTCCACCCACACCACAGACGCTGGAGCGTAATTTGGGATCCCGTAAGCGTTCTCTTGAGGACTTAAGGGACGATAAGCGTTCTCTTGAGGATTTAAGAGACGATAAATAGCTTGTAGGTCATTTTAGTTGTACATTTGTACTTACAATTATCTGAAAAACTTGTATAAATTAAACTGTAATTAATTATGTACATATATATAGATGTGTTTTACTTGTGCTCCGTTTTGTTCCTCATTTTTCTCTTAAAGTTGGCTCTTTCTACTCGAAGGCTTTGAGTAGTAGTGCCTGAGCAGTTCGGTTTACTTTCCGAATAAGTTGAGAACAAACCTTATTCGGTTTGGCTTGTTAGAGTTTGGAATTTACTTTAAGAATGTGTCGGTCTAGTTAATAGTTACAAGTTTTTGATATTTCTAGAAAAAACGTATTCGAGTCTCAGTTTCTTCTTTAAAGTTCGGTTGTGTTGCCATATTAGCCGTTTTGTTGTTTATATGAATGCGCTTTGGTTTGGGTCTTAATTGCGGAGGTTTTTTTGGTTCATGACTTGTTAGTTGGGCAAGCAATTTCGTGTATTTATAGTTGGCCAAAAAGGTCTAATATTGTGTGAAACTTTCTAAAATCTAAAACAAAGACTTTTATATGTTCACATCAAAATAGATGCTAAAGGCATATGCGTGTGTATTTATAGCAGTCATGTGATAGATGTGAGGCCATGTTATCCGGATCGTTGACCCGAAACTAAATTAGTACCCTTGACCATTACATTTATATGATTCATATACACGTAGCTTTTCTTAAATGAGTTGTAGAAATTAATTAACTAAGCACTTTGTTTTACATGATTTTTTCTTAACCAAAGAAAGGGTAACATGATTATTGAAGGTGACTAATTTCTTCATTTCCATTTATAAGAGGTCGTGACAAAAAAGGTTCACAAGTTGGATCCTTTGGAATTGGATTTATATATACGAAGACCGAAAGAAAAAGTCTGAGATAACGGTGACAGAGTAAAAAAAAAAACTCATAAAATAGACGGAGGAAAAAGTCATCAACTTGACGGCCAAGTTAACGGCGGGTGATCTACGTTCACACACGAGAGACAAAAGAAATAAGCATCATCATCATCTCCCTCTTCGGTTTTTCACTGTAAAGAATTGATTCCTCAATCACCCAAAGAAGCAAAATCAGACCCTAACAAATCACTGTAGCCGAAACTTTCGATCGAATCGAAACCCTTTTTCGGCCCCCCGAAAGTTTCGTAGTTTTTTTTTTCTCAAATCATCTGAATCGGTTGAGATGAGCTCCGATTCGTCGGCGGCTGGTGATGGCGGCGAACAAGCCGCTTCTGCTGCTGTGGGGACGAGCGTGCCGTCACCTTCTTACGACAAACAGAAGGAGAAGGCGCGTGTGAGTAGAACGTCTCTGATTCTGTGGCACGCGCACCAGAACGACGCAGCTGCAGTTCGGAAGCTCCTGGAGGAAGATCCGTCTCTCGTTCACGCCAGAGACTACGACAAGCGAACGCCTCTCCACGTGGCGTCGCTTCACGGGTGGATCGATGTCGTGAAATGTCTGCTCGAGTTTGGTGCTGATGTCAACGCTCAGGATAGGTGGAAGAACACGGTAAACAAAATTTTCATTTTTTTGGATTCGGTTTCTCGGTTTCATCTCTGTTTTCTTTTGTTCACCTTGATCTGAATATCTTCTTTGTTGGGTATTTGAAGCCTCTGGCTGATGCAGAAGGAGCTAGGAAGCAGAAAATGATCGAGCTTCTGAAATCTCATGGCGGTTTATCTTATGTGAGTTTTTTGAATTTCTTTCTCATCTCGTGTAGCTTCGGATTAGAAGAAACTTTCATTCTCTAAGGTACTGATTTGCTATGGAGTATGAAAAACTGCAAAATTTAGGAACTTTCATCTCTCTCTGAAGCAGCTGCGTAATGCAGTATTGTTCGTTATACTTAGTTTTCAAAGATTCAAAGAGACACTTTAGCTGAGTAAACTCTGTACGCAGGGTCAAAACGGGAGTCACTTTGAACCAAAGCCTGTGCCACCACCAATTCCGAAGAAATGTGACTGGGAAATCGAACCAGCTGAGCTGGATTTCTCAAATGCCGCAATGATTGGAAAGGTTTATATTACTTTGATATCGACATTTTTTGAGTTAGATACTGCCAGATGCAGTGAGTTTCTTTGGGCTTAATTGGGAGGTTGGTCACATTTTTCTGTCAGGGTTCCTTTGGTGAGATTGTGAAAGCTTATTGGAGAGGAACACCTGTAGCTGTGAAGCGTATTCTTCCGTCTCTCTCAGATGATAGGCTGGTTATGTAAGTTCTTATCTCTCTCTCTGTTTTTGCTATTATTAGATGAGCTTCCTCGACGGATTTTAGCTGATACTTTGGCAAGAGTCTCTACTAAAGATTCTTGTGTTTCATAAGTTCCATGTTTGCTGTGGTACAGTCAGGACTTCAGGCATGAGGTTGATTTGCTAGTGAAGCTTCGCCATCCGAATATAGTGCAATTCTTAGGAGCGGTAACCGAAAGAAAGCCCCTTATGTTGATCACCGAATACTTACGCGGGGTAAGTTTTTTTTCACTATCCGCTGTCTTTTATCTCTGCATGTTTTCTCCATATAATTAGCTAAATGATTCATCTGTTATTCACAGGGAGATCTTCATCAATACCTCAAGGAAAAGGGCGGTCTTACTCCAGCAACTGCTGTCAACTTTGCGTTGGATATCGCAAGGTACTTGAATCTTCAAATTTGAGATATTATGTGACACTCTTTATTCAGTCATATTTGGCCTCAGTGTTTTTTTAATTTGTTACTGACAGAGGAATGACATATCTTCACAATGAACCTAATGTTATCATTCACCGAGATCTTAAACCAAGGTAATCGAAATTGCTTCATATGTAGCTCCTCGGTTTTACTTCAAATCTGCTGTTTGTAAATGTAAAACCGGGTTCTCGTGTGTTATGTTTGCAGGAACGTTCTTCTGGTTAATTCCAGTGCTGACCACTTGAAAGTTGGAGACTTTGGGCTTAGTAAGCTCATAAAGGTTCAAAACTCGCATGATGTCTACAAAATGACTGGCGAAACCGGAAGCTGTAAGTGTTGTTGTTCTATAGTAAAACTGTCGTATGTCTTTTTTTGTTTCTTTCATTTCTCTAACTTCACCTCCCTTGTTACTCCCAGACCGGTATATGGCTCCTGAAGTATTCAGGCATAGAAGATATGACAAGAAAGTCGATGTCTTCTCTTTTGCAATGATACTTTACGAGGTACTAAGATCTTAACTATAAAAAATCTATCTTGTCTTTATGATAAACAGAACCAATGTTTTTAACCGTAACACATTGTATCCAGATGCTTGAAGGAGAGCCACCGTTTGCGAACCACGAGCCGTATGAAGCAGCGAAACATGTATCAGATGGACATAGACCTAGTTTCCGTTCCAAAGGATGCACACCAGATTTAAGAGAGTAAGCACAACCCGAGAGATCCCTCTGCTCCGGTTTTAGTCTAGAGATAACTAAACTGGTCTCTTTTTTAAAACAGGTTGATTGTGAAATGCTGGGACACAGACATGAACCAAAGACCATCGTTTCTGGACATTCTCAAGAGACTTGAAAAGATCAAGGAAACTCTACCATCAGATCACCATTGGGGATTATTCACTTCTTAATACACCAATTCTCTTTATTTAAACGAAAAAAAAAAAACAACCATGAACAAGAAAGTAACATTCTGTTTGCTTATTATTCCTATTGTTCCTTGTCTTTTGTAAAGATTGTTTCGTTTTTTTATTTCTCTTCTCATTTGTTTTACACAGTAAACGACTTAAAAGAGTGCGACATAAAAGCTTTTGTTTTGTTTTTTTCCATGAATTGGATTGAGTTTGCAGGTCAGTGAGATGTTAAGAGCATCGCAAAAATGAAAAACAAAGTGCTTTGAAAAGAATTGAATTTAGTTGTATACAGAAGTAGAGTCTTAAGGTTGTCAATACAATCTCTGTCATTGAAATATCGTAGTGGTAATTAGATGAGCTTCTTCTTCTCGAAGAAAGTCTTCAAGTGCCAAAACTGAAGACCTGCGACCGATAAACATACCGCTAGCGACAAAAAGCTTAACCATGCCATCTTAGAATTTGTCGATATGTTCAGTTCGTGCATTTCTTCTTCCCTGCAAGATACCAGAAGAAGATGGGTTTTGAGTTTTGAGCGTTTCTCTTCGTCAAATTAAGGGACTTTAAGGGAAGACAGGTTTTCGTGTAAAATTACCTGTCTCGGAGATAAAACATCTCATCATGGATGGAAGTCACAGTTTCGAATAGCTTCTTAACTTCAAACTCCATCATCTGGCCAGTAACATTAAGATTCAATCATAACAAGGCTAAATAAAACAACTTTTTAACCATTTCAAGCTAGTTTCTGCTCTGTTGTCTGTAAAAGCCTATCCCTTTCTATATTTACTTTGCAGGAGATCAATCATTTATAAGGAAATAATTCCTGAATGAGCTGAGGAAACTAATGGGACCAAATCAATCTCTCTTCTCAGGTGCTCCGAATCAATTGGATTTGTACCATATGTAGCCTAATTCATGACCTGGCTCGAACCTACCAATGTACCAACATAGCCTAGAAACCAAAGATTACACAGAATTTCTCAATTCAGATATAACTTTCCACTCTCCAGCATTACGTCTAAGCTATCAATACCTCACACATCCGGCACAGTGCTCGATTCATTATGTCGTCGTCTATGAGTTTAGCTTGACTAAGTTAAGACTAAAGACGAGGCGGAAAACTTACTTCGACTTGGCTCTTCTTGGCCACATTGGACCAGTCCTTGGTATGAATGCCCGTCCTCCAATCAAAGTCAATGACCAGCAACGTCTCCGGTTGGTGATCGACGGCGGAGAAGCAAGCAACGTAATCTCCTGTTTCAATCGCCGTCAACGAGAACTGCCCCGATTCCACTCCGTCCGCCTCGTGGTAAGCCGTTCCTTGCGGCGATGTCACCTATACAATCAACACATTGCACATACTGAATCACCAGAAAAAGAACAAAGAAATTGACGGAAATGCGACAAGGTGGGAAGATTTTTTAGATGAATTATTCATACCCTGACGGTGACTTTGTTGGAAGCCGGGAGGGGATGATGTTCGTTAGGGTTTACGATGCTGTATTTGCCGACGGACATGGCGTTGGCGTGAATCTCCTCGGAGATGCATTTCGTGTGCCCAGAAAGTAGCTCGTAACGCATGGAGAGCGTCGCGGGAGACAAAATTGAAAGGATCAACAGTACAATCGAGCTCCGATGAAGATCCATGGCGGCTCCGATGTATATAGAGAGAAAGAGAAATCGATCTGACGAGTTTTTCAATTGTTTCGTTAATTTCTGGCTAATGAAGGAGACCAAAGAAAAGTCAACACGTGCAATACCACGCGTAAGTCTTTCATTCGTCATAACACGTAGATTGATTTCACACCTTCCGGCTCGTGTGTTCGCGCGAAACTCTATGATGGGCTTTAAAATTAAGGCCCAATTACCCCAAAGTTTAAATAACTCATCCAAATTTCATTTATGCCATATCCTGAGTACAAATGGTTTGGTAATGCTAACTAAAAAGTTTGGATAACATTTGGTGGAAAACAATTGTGTAAAGAAGAAAAAGACTTTCCTTGGAAGGGATGTTAATGCAAATCGAGGGAATTTGTCATGATTTCGTTTCAATTTTTTTACAATAAGTACTACAAATGCTTACTATAAGCTTAAAACATACATATGATTATGAATGTTAATCAAAGAAGTGTCTGGATAAAAGGGATCAAACACTTTTCGTGATTAGTGCAATAAATAGATGAATGAAATTAATGAAAGGGGGGAAACAATTAGGTGAATCCGTTGACGAATGACAACGACTATCAAAAAGGCGAAATGTGTCATCTTTCTTTCCCTATTAGTGTATGGTTTTTCAGAGTTGAATATCCTGGAAATTTTTAATTAATACTACTCGTAGTATATTTGTTTCTGTCTCTACTTTGTCAAACGTCGTATTATTTTTGTCTAATAAATCAGACTTCCTTATGTTATAAAAAAAAAAAAAAACAGACTTCCTTGAAAATCTTTTATTTTACCATAAAAAATTAGTTAAAGTCTTGAAGGTTCTGAATTCAGATCGTTAAGAGGAATGCATTTCTTTGCAAACAGAGAAATATTTTATGAGAGTATGGAAGAAAATAAATGAAATAGATAGAATTGATCAGAAAATAATAAATAAAAAAAAGCTTGGCGGTTATTTATTTCTGTTCGTCATTCCCTTCTCTCACCGTTACCACCTATTTATTTTTCCTTCGTTTCGTGATTTTTTTTAATTTCGAATTTACTCGGAAAAAAAAAAATCCTCGAGATTCAAACCTTCGACAAGGAGAGAAGCTGTTTCAGAGCATCTCTCATTTCGCGTTTGTCATCTAATTTCGTTTCCTGCATTCTGAAGAAATTCTGCGAAATTTTTTGACATCTCAAGATCGCGAAAATTAGGTTAGTAGAATTTATCTCATGAAGCGGCGACGACGATCGTCGGAGGGAGATGGAAGTTAGATCGGAGAGTACTCAGGCGCGGAGCGATAAGCTTCCGCCTCCGGTAGTTCCGAAGCCTCGTGTACAAGTATGGTTCGTAAGAGTCTGCTCCAGCATTTTGGTTTGGACGTGTTTGGTTCAGCTTTTCGCCGCCGGCGAGCTTTGGCATACCCGGATCTTCACTGGTCTAACCAATCAGATTTCTAGATTTTCAGTCCCCGTCGAGCCTGTTCCATTGCCGCCTCCTCTTCCTCCCCCGAGTCAGTTTTTTCATTTGTTGATATCTCTGATATTTCTATATTTTGGGGATTAGGGTTGTATTTGCTTTCGTCTTCTTCGTTGGTGCTTGAGAGCTTAACGAGATTATTGATTTCTGCAGGAAATTATACAAGCAATGGTATTCTACTTGTATCCTGTAATGGCGGACTCAATCAAATGCGATCCGCGGTTAGTCAAATTGCGTTAATTGCTCTTTGGATCTTTTTCAGATTTAATGTTTTTTGAATCGTGACGCATCTTGTATCAGATTTGTGACATGGTGACTGTTGCTCGGCTATTAAACCTCACTCTCGTTGTTCCGGAGCTTGACAAAACATCGTTCTGGGCTGATCCAAGGTACTGTATCTTCGGTGTTTACAGGACATCTTCATGTCTGATTTGCCTAACCATTTTTTTTATTTCTAGCAATCTAAAAGCATCCTCGGTTTCGTTTGCAGTGGTTTTGAGGATATTTTTGATGTGAGACATTTCATTGATTCATTAAGAGATGAAGTTCGGATCCTGAGGAGGCTTCCAAAACGGTATAGCAGGAAGTATGGATATCAAATGTTCGAAATGCCTCCTGTGAGCTGGTCTGATGAAAACTATTACTTGAAGCAGGTATGTGCTGGCTCACAAATCTCAAGCTTTTGCAGTTTCTCCATTGCTTCTTCTTGTGTGTGTATGTTCTTGCTGATGGGTATACACATCCCTGTGATATCTGATTGTCAAATTTCTTGTTCAGGTGTTGCCCCTTTTCAGCAAACATAAAGTTGTACACTTCAATAGGACCGACACTCGCCTGGCAAATAATGGTCTTCCCCTCGCGCTCCAGTGGCTCAGGTGCCGGGTGAACTTCCAGGGACTAAAGTTCACTCCACAGCTTGAGGCTTTAGGAGCTAAGCTAGTCCGCATTCTTCAACAAAGAGGGCCGTTTGTGGCTTTGCATCTGCGATATGAGATGGACATGTTAGCTTTCTCTGGTTGCACTCATGGTTGCAGTGAGGAAGAAGCGGAAGAGCTTAAAAAGATGAGGTTTGCCTTCGAAAAACCTGTCCTGAACTGGCGCCTTGAGTGTATGTTTTCTTTTTGTTGTTAATGAATGGGTCCATTATGTGTTATGTAGGTACACATATCCCTGGTGGAGAGAGAAGGAGATAGTCTCAGAGGAGAGGAGGGCGCAAGGGCTGTGTCCCCTGACGCCAGAGGAGGTGGCATTGGTTCTAAAAGCATTGGGATTCGAGAAAAACACACAGATATACATTGCAGCTGGTGAGATTTATGGGAGCGAGCATAGGCTCTCCGTTCTAAGGGAAGCATTCCCGAGAATTGTGAGTCTACAAATCCGCAACTGCGTCTTCATTATATTTATGCACTTTTGCTTATCAGTTTTGCTCTCACATGTGGTCATAGGTAAAGAAGGAAATGCTATTGGAGTCGGCAGAGTTGCAACAGTTTCAGAACCATTCGTCTCAAATGGCTGCTCTTGATTTCATGGTATCTGTGGCCAGCAACACTTTTATTCCAACGTATGATGGAAACATGGCAAAAGTCGTGGAAGGTCATCGGAGGTAATAATAAAATTGAATCCATTCAATTCTTCATGACAAGCTAGCTACAAGGTAGTGCTAAGAAAACCATAGCTGCTCTAGATTATTAACTTGGTAAGTTGTGTTGAGTTTGCAGATACCTGGGGTTTAAGAAGACAATCCTGCTTGACCGTAAGAAGCTCGTGGAGCTACTTGACTTACACCACAACAAGACCCTCACATGGGATCAGTTCACAGTAGCGGTTAAGGCAGCCCATGAGAGACGAACAGGAGCACCTACACAACGAAGAGTAATCTCTGACAAACCTAAGGAGGAAGATTACTTTTACGCAAACCCTCAAGAATGTCTCTGTGAAGGTACAAATTGCCACGAGCTGTTTGGCCATAGGAATTCCAATTTAACACATTGAGAAGTCATGTGTTTTTAGCATATTAGCACTCATTGCTTCTGCAAGAGGACGGCAAAGCAAAACACTGGGAAAGGGAGCTGCATAGTTCCTTTCACTTGAGTTTCTCCATTTTTGTTTGTAACTTCTTTTTTATTTTTCAGTTTTGCTGCAAAGTTGCTGATCTTGATTTATTTGTTTTTACGTAAGTTAAGATGTAACTAAAAAGAAGATGATGTGTCCATTTCATAGAACTTCAAAAAGGCCGTTTTTGGCAATAGCCTAACATACACAGATATTGTTGCTCTCTCTCATTTCTTCCATCTCGAGCTCGATTAACTCTAACAAACAGGTAAAGTTGTTAAACTATAGGAGCACCGAGCACACCAGGCTCAAGCTCTCTAAAACTTAACTAAAAAATGTATGAGGCTTGAACAATTTTATTTTCTTTTGGTAATAAATGGAAATTTAAATTTAATAATCATATAATCAAAACCCTTGATGATAGCAAAATGAATTTGAAAACTGGATTTCATGTCCCCCATCATCATATTTTTTTTTTTTTTTTGGTAATCCCCCCAACATTATATTTGTATGAAGGTAAAAAAATGGGAAATGATAATAAGATGTACTTTTCTCTCTTCTCAGACAAAAAGAAAACATTTTTGTTTCTCTTTCTAATCCCCATAAACGATCGGTGTCCACGAACCCTCATGTAATTACGTCATCTGCCATTTTACCAAATGACGAATTTGTCCTTGGTGAGAATGAGAGCATCTTTTCCCTTTTTTCTCTCGTCTCTGTCGACGACAAGATTCGGTGATTGGGTCCTTTCAGATTCTAATAAATAGCATCAGAAATCAGCCGTACACACGCCGGTGAAAACGATTTGAATACAATAATCAGATCTATATTAAAATAGAATGTTTACTAACACTCAAATTTTATAACTAGTTTGTTATTTTTTTTCCTAATGATATGAACATTTTTTTTTAATTGCGGTACAATCAAATCCATTTTTTTTTTTTTTTTGTATTTGGGGATTTTAAAAGCTACGAATCCTACTATGGCAATTGTCTTTTGGGTGATTTAAGGCCCAAATTTTATATTTTGCAATGGGCTTATCATCAATCTTTCTTGATGCACAAAAAGACAGAGGAAAGAAACACACAATTATGTGGATATAGTTGTATGCTTAAAATTTACCCCCAATAAAAGGTTTGTATGATTAGAATTTTATCGAGAATCATATACCTACATCACTCTTCATTTCATTAGGATCGGAACCATCTAAGCCGAACTTCCTCCTTATGATTTCGGATGTTTTCACAAAATCCATTCTGATTGACTCACTTTTGATTTTTTGTTTTGCTCAAAATTTAGCCTATAATTCGTCGTTGCTCGGTATATATATATAAATAATATTTAAAGGATTAGCTATAGATTTTTCTGGAATCTACTTTTTTGAGGCTACAATACGGTAATTAAGTTTTAATTCATTGCTTTGTGTGTGGACAAGTGTGGTTTGTCTACGTTCTTGATGCTTTTCAAAATTTGATGTAAAACTTTTCGAAAGTGACTATCTTTATTTAACTGATAAATTATTTAACTAGCGTTTGATAAAATATTATAGACGTTAAAGATGAGAGGGGATTTTTATATAGTTATTTTTGTAAAAGGGAATGGAGGGGGCTAGTGGGAGACGAGTGGCAAATAATTACTTTTTCAATACCAATTTTATTTTGTTTTAATATTAAGTAAATCAAAATATTTCCTATTGATGATAATATGCATCCTGACTAACGGTAGATTAAAATATTTTTCCAATCGCCATATTTATGTAGAATCTTGATTTATTAATTATTAGTTGTTTATAAAATATATATATATATATATTCATATTCTTTTGCAGTTAACTAGAGTTTTGTGGTTTAGTAATGTCCATCTTAATTTATATATAAAATTAAAAGATAAATTTGATTCAACCAATGTTCTTAATTAGGTTTGATCTTGAAAGTTTCTCTAGTAATAAGAATTTTATTGTGACTAGAAAATTTAATCTGTTTAATAAAAAGAAATATTGAAGAAAAATGACAGTTGCATAGTTGCATGTGTATATGTATATTTATGGAATTCTTTTTCTTTCTTTGATTCTCAATGAAATCAATTTGGTGGGACACACCATCAGAACTATGATAGGACCCTTGACTAATACTCACTTAATAAATCTTAATTTTTTTCTGATGAGAGTGACATTTCCGAAAGTATACTTTGGACCACTTTTAAGGTCTATTCCCAACTTATCTTCAACTTATTAACTATTGATATGTATAAAAATCATATAATATATAACAGGCGTTTCGATCTATTATTGAACTCTTCGAGTTATTTTGATCAATTCTTTTTTACTCTAGTAAGAACTATATATATAAAGATGTTGTATCATTGTTTCGAAGTTCAAATCCATGTTTCTGCTATTTAAATTCATTTTTCGTTATTTTCAAATGTGCGTTTAAAATAGTTAACAAAAACTTAAGCAACAAAATTCCTAACAAGTTTTGTTTACTGATATTTTGTGGTAAAGATAAATAACGCATAAAGATATACTATATAATTTTTAATTGCAGTTAGTATTATTCTTATATATATATATATTTTTTTTTTAAAGGAACATGGTCTTAAATTCTCGGATGTTACCTATACAAATACGGAATTAACCATGTGGGTTTGTGACATAAGAGACAAAACAAAATGATGCCATGCCACACACACAACAGTTGAACTGTTGAAGAAGAGCGTAGGTTAGTATTAGTTACCAAAAACTATTTAAGCGAGATATATTTTTGAAAATTTAGCTTGAGTGAGAAAATAACAAATATAATAAGATATACATTTTCTTTATGGCTCTGTACCTCAACAAAAACATTTTTTATAGATATTAAAAATAAGTTCTTATTCCTTTATATAATCCCATCAGTATCCAAAATTCCAACCTCCCCATTTGAAAATTATTTTCTCATAATCAGCAGAAATCAACTTTGATCACCAATCCAAAAACTTTTAGGAGTCTAATAAACTTATAATTTCTCTGTATACAAACGAAAAATTGATCCCACAGTAGCCAACGAGATAGAGGCATATAGCCAGTCTACAGAAGAAAAATAAAAAGATTTTGTAGGCGGGACCCACGCTTTGTTTGCTGTCACTAGATTTATTATTTACAGCTTATTCGAATTGTTTTTTTTTCTTTTCTAAATATATTGACGCTAACAAGAAAAAATGTGTTAAACGAAGGATGCGTTAATTAATGGGCCAAGGATTTACGGAAATTTTATTTTCCTGACGACATGTTCGTCTTGGATTTTCAGTTTTTTTTTTTTCATTGTTTATTTATTCTTACTGCGTCTGATATTTTTAATTTTATTTTCAAAAGTCACTAGAACACTCAATCTAGACAATTTTGGTCTCAACCTTTTAAGAAAACTGGAGGAACTCTTTACCAAAATCTGTAATTTCATTTAAACAGTCTAATTGATTTACTCTTTACAGTAACGAACACGTTCCAAAGTTTAATTTGTAGCATACACAACTTTTATGTTGTAAGTTGTAACAAAACACCAAAAAATATCCGCAAATGAATAATCCTCGTTTAAACAATTTAACATTAGTTTTCATTTACGATGAGCATACATCAGCATAAGTTTGTTTTCTAGTAAATACTGTATAAGATTTGTAGATGCATGTCTTTTTAAAAGCATGGCAAATAAAGATGGAGAGGACCTAGAAGATACCCATTTCACATTTCATCATTTATTTTCTTCTACTGCACATGTAAGTTTAAATTAGGAATTAAATATATGTATAAGGATTAAACTAAAATTTTGAAAACATGTACTGTATAATTTATAAATGGAAAATATTTCCGCATTAAAGATTTTTTTTATTAGTCAAAATATTCATCCTGTTCTTTCTTTAAAATGTAGTATTAACTCTCTTTTTTTAATATGAAAAGCCGAAATTGATTGGTTATTATTATTACATTAAAGAAAAGAACCAAAAAATAAAATTAACGAAAAATCTAAAAAAAAAGGTGAAGAAAAAGCAGAGAATAAAAGGAAGAGAAGACCGGATGTTGACAAATAATATCATGTCACTGTTGATAGAAGGGTCGTTTGTTTATGTGATTTTGGGATCTTTCTTTTTCTCTCTATAAACAATCTTCTTTTATCGCTCACAAAAGAAGCAGAAGCAGAAGAGAAGAATAAAGGAGATTTCTTTTCATCTCCGGAAAATTTTTTGTTTGGTGAGAGAGAGAGAGAAGAGAGAGAAGAGTGGCCCAGTAGATCGAAGATGACGATCTAATTTTTTCCATTAATGGTGTTTACGCTATAACTATTATACCCATACTTTATTTTATTTTGGTTTCAATTCTCCCCAGAGTAGAGATTCGAAATTTTTCTTATTTTTCTTTTGATTCAGAGATTTTTCCTTTATTTTTTTCTTCTCTAATTTCACTTTGTTGAAACTTGTAAAATTCTCATTTTTGGTCTTCTGAAGAAAGTATCGAGGCGAGTTGGCGATAAGAGGATGTGGGTTTGAGGTAAAAACCCTCTTTTTTTTTCTTCTAAACTCTTATAATAGGTTTTTTTTTTTATTTGATGATGATTTGGGGATTTTCAGCTTTAATCTGCTTAATTTTCATCTAGGTTCACTAGATTAATGCATTTCCTCTGTCAATTTGGTACAATCTCGTCCTAATATTTAGCAGAATCTAACTTTAGATTTCGACTTGATTGTGATTTTTTCTTCGAGATCCTATTTTGACTCGTCTGCGTTAGAATTTGAAGACGACCTTTTAGTTCATCACCGAGTCAAAACCCTTTTGTGTGAAAGTCCTTGTTTCTTCTGGTATATGTTTGACTTTTGAGATAGTGTTAAAAGCTAAATCAGAAATGGGTTTATGGTGATGGAACCAAATTGAGCTCATGGAAGTTATAAAGTTTTTATTTTGCCGGAGGAAATGTGGTTAATGCTTGTTGCGTGCTTAGAATTTGGGGGGCAATTTCATTGTCTTTGAATCAGATTTCTGCTCAAGACTAAAAAGTTGGGGTTTTTTTTCGTGAGCAGGAATGGGAACAAAGGTGCACTGTGAAAGCTTATTACCTGGATATCATCACTCTATGAGAGATCTCAACAACGAATCTAACGGTTGTAGATGGCCATTGTTCTACGGTGACAATCAAACCTCGGCGAATGATCAATCCTACAATGGCTTCCCGTCCCAGACTACAACATTCGGGTATGACAAAGATGTGGTGAGAAGGACAATGCTCGAACACGAAGCTGTTTTCAAGACACAGGTTTGTTTAGTAGAGGCCTTTTTTAATCTTTTCATCTTTCTCTGTTCTTTGGCTAAGTCAGCTTTTGGTTGAACATACTTTTTGTGCTTTTTTGATCTTTAACCAGGTTTCGGAACTTCACCGGGTATACAGGATTCAAAAGGATATGATGGATGAACTGAAAAGGAAACAGTTTAATAAAGAATGGGGTCAAGCTGAGGCATCATTTTCATCTCAAGCTACTAATGATGATGTCCATAGATGGAAAGCCCCTGCTTTCCCTTCGGCGAACTCGGTTTACGACAGACCATCCATGTCGGTGGTTGAGGATAATGGCCATTCCCCCATGAAAGGAAGCAATTCTCAAGGGGTCGTCGGCTCATCATTTCCATGGCAAAATGGAGCTAGCTCCAAAAATGTTGAGACTTTGGAGGTTAGACCGACGAAGATCAGAAAAAAGATGATAGATCTTTGTCTTCCAGCTGATGAGTATATCGATGACTCCGAAGATGTTGTGGAGTTGAAAGATCACAGGGTTTGTGGCACATCGAGTCAGCTTCCTAATGGAAATATGAAGCTTGAACCTCGCGGAGATAGTTTGAGAGTTGGCTATGGGCTGAGTAGTAGAAGCAGCAATGGCTTGGCTGATCTGAACGAACCATTTAAGGCTCAAGAAACGAATGAGTTTGCTTATGGCCATTCCCGTGACTTGCGTAATGGCGAATTTCAAGGCCATATTCGTGACTACGGCAAGGCTCTGAACTCGGGCAGTGTAAGGGAGCATGTTCCTGTTATCTCTCTGCATCCAGATGAGAACTGTAAACCGAAAGTTTGGCCAAATCAGTCCTCCAGAATTGGTAAGATGATCCACTAAGTTGTAAATGGCAATTCGTTGATATTTCTTCCTTGTTTTATGCCTGTTTCTAATATTTCAAAGTTTCCAATGTGAAACCCTCCACTTGCAGATCATTACAGTGGCAGTGGCACACACAAGTCTGCTACTCCATTTCGTCAACCGGCCAAGCCATTGGATCCACCGTCTCAGCCTATGCAAGCTTTGATGAACAGTTCACAAAGAGTGATGGGTTTACCTAATTCTGGTCCTCCAAGCAAGGCAGTCTTGTGGAGAGAACGGACGTTTATTGACCTAGAAGCTGATACTGATACTACCAACACTAGTCACGAAGTCATCCATGAATCAAGTTTGCCTTCTCATCAACCACAACACTTATATCCATATAATCCTCAAGATTCTGCTGTCCCCTGGAACCATTTGCATTCTTCCTGGCAAAATACTAGCTTTGCCTTCCCTCAGAGAGTTGTGTCAGCGCAGAGATACCCGGTTCTAAACATGTCTGACACAGTGAGTGGTAGTAATGCACAGAAACAAGGGTGTCTCGGAGACAGATTACAGTTTGAAAGCAATTCTAGATATAACTCAGGGTGTGGTAATACCAGTAGGTCAAACCACAACATGTTTTACAATGAGTGTTCTTCTTCATCCAAATCGAAATTCTATGGGGCTGGCTATGTTTATCCTAACGGAGGAAGAAGTGATTACAGCCCAGCAAATCCATTCATGGATTCAAATGGCTCGGAGGTGAAGTTTGTGAGAGATTTGAACTTAAATGTGACACTTTCAAACACTTCTGTTGTTGAAGTCAGAAAAGATGAAGAACATCTGGCTGCTTTACCATGGCTTATTAAACCCAATCCTTCTTGTAACTCCGAGGTGGCTGATGGGAAATGGAATCTGAAGAGTGATGATGCTGTTCCGAGTTCTTCTTTGAAACCATTGGATATCAAAGATGTGGTAGGAAGCAAAGTTCAGAGTCGTATGTGGCTAGAGAGCTTAAAGTCTGCTTCTTGTTCAAATCAACCGGAGACTGAGAAGATCAGTGATATATCGAAAATTCCTGGATTTGCTTATAGAGATCAGTCCAATGCAGAGAGAGATAAAGTTAGGATGCTAGACATCAACGAACCGTGTGAACCTCTTTCGGATGAAGATCAGCAAACGGAGGAACTGACAGGGACAAAGGTTTCGGCTAGTAATAAGTGTCATATTGATTTGAACATGTCGCTTAGTGAAGACGAAGATGAAAACTGGTCTGTTCCTAGCAGTTCAAGACTGAATTCAAAGAAACCCATGATAGATTTAGAAACTGTTCCTGAGTCTGATGTTGAAGAAGATGATGATGTCTACGGAGAAAAACCGTCAGAAGAGACCCCAGCCGAGGAAAAAACTGTGGAGAAACCGCCCGAGTTTGAAAATATAGCAGCAGAGACAATAGTTGCCATTTCTTCAGCTTGCTTAGATAGAGAGCTTGAAGTTGTTGCTTCATCAGAAGCTCCAGAAACCATCATCCTTCACTGGTTTGCAGAAACAGTAAATACTCACAGGGAGAATCTGGACCAAAAGCTCGCTTCTTTCTCGAGGAATCAAGCGCGTTCAATCGAAGAGATTGATTACTTCGAGGCAATGACCCTGCAACTATCTGAGATCACAGAAGGTGAGTACATGCCTAAGCCATTAGTCCCTGAAGACCTCAAATTGGAGGAGACCTCAGGAACCCCGATGGTCACGAGCCAAAGACCAAGAAGAGGAAACGCGAGAAAAGGAAAACAGAGACGGGACTTTCAAAGAGACATCCTGCCTGGACTTTTGTCCCTTTCGAAACACGAAGTAACAGAGGACATTCATATGTTTGATGGGTTCATGAGAGCAACGGGAAGCTCCTGGACTCCAACCGGTTTAACAAGGAAGAAAACGGGTACAAGAGGAAGACCAAGACGGGTCATAACAATCACTGAACCGGCCTATTACCCTGTTCCTGCTCCTGCTCCTGCTCCTTGTCCCTCGGTTCAACAACATGTGAGCAATCAAAGCAACAATGGTGAGGTTGAAATGGGTTTTGTTGAAGACAGGAGCTTTGCAGGTTGGGGGAAAATGACAAGAAGGCCGAGAAGACAGCGATGTCCTTCAACTGTAACTACAAGTAACCAACGTTCATCAGCAGACGCGCCTTTCTCGTGATAAATTGGGAATAATTGTATTTGTTACTATAAATATCATTTCCGATTCTTTTGAAAAGGTTGTCGTATAGAGAGGGAGATATTAATATCAGACTGTTTGTGATAGAGACAATTTCATCGAGGAATTTTTTTTTATTTTCGCTTGGTGATATACATGAAGAATATTTTATTCATATAAAGTGACTTTCTTCTTCTTTTTCCTACTACTAGTGTTCGATTCCAATATCAGATCGAGTTCCAAAATGGTTTACACATACCATTTCGGTTCGATGCACGTAAATAATGTGTGGGCCTATTTTAGTAACTTGCAAATATATGGCCCAACGATGAACGATAATCGTAGCGTAATGTTCATGGGAGTTATGATTCTCGTCAACACGGGTCCCACATGAATACTGCAAACTGATAAGCTTTAAACCATCTCATGTCGCAGACACGTGGTCACGCTTGGACCGTCCGATCAAAAGGAGTCATTTTTGATATTTGAAAACCTAAAATGTTCCACAAGCTGGGTTTGATTGGAGATCATGGATAGAGACTGGTTGGATTTGTATTGTTGGACTGTTAATGGGAGTAGTCTGTGTAGGGTTGAGAGAGATTCTGTGTTTTGGGGAGAGATGAAACTAACGCTTGTTGATTTTTGGGAGATACAAGTTTTATAATAGCTCTGTTGTGACAACATATCCTTTGGTGGAACTGTTAAGAGTTTGCGCCTGAATCTAGACATGAACGGTGTGATCAATTTTTTGCGTGGGACTCAGATAATTATGGTTTATGGATAACTCTAAGCGCTTGTTTTATGAAATTAATGGACATATTGTAGATTGAATTGCAAAGTCATTGCCATTCATGTATCTAAATCTAATCTCTCTTCCTTAAAAGTCTATTTCTTGAAATTGAATGTTTTCATAACTTTGACACAATTTAAAAAAAAAACGAGTCGCAGTACCAAATGTAACTACTCTCTCTAGTAACTGAAGATTTGAAGTTACCAATTTAATAAAAATTTGACACAACAACGATAGATTCATGATATCCAAAAGTTATTACACAAAAGGAGATACGGCCATACTAAACGATGCAACATAATTACTAAGTAACGTACTTAGTTATTTTAATTTTATCATCACACGATAAAGCTACAAATTAAAGATCAAATCACTTCATGAAACCTTGAGCCATCTTTGCATAACCTCCCAACCCACCGCCAGACTCTTCATCGGTTTTCTTAACCGCCGCCGCCGGTTCACCTGGACTCGCCGCCGCCGGTTCACCTGGACTCGCCGCTGCCGGAGCAGGAGTCCCGGCGCCGGTGGAGTGTGAAGACTCGTAGTCGTTGAGATACTTCTCGGCCTTGTCGAGGTACTGACCAGCGCCGCTCTTTTCATCGAGCTTAGCGTATTTCTCGGCGGCGTCTAAGATATCAGCGGAGGCTCCGGCGACTTTACCCTTGTCGAGTTTGTCCGATTCGTTACGAGCTGCGGCTTGAGCAGCTTCGGCTACAACCTTGGCACTAGCCATGAGCTCGGCGTTGGAAGCTGGTCTGTTTGCTGTCTCGGTTCCTTCGACTGGCTTGTTGTGGTCCGGCTCCTCCGGTTTCGAGTCGGAGAATTTCTTTACCTGATCAGAGAGGAAGTTCATCTTTTAGTTTGTTTTTTAGCTGAATATAATTTCTGTGTTGGATGTAAAGAGCTAAGAGACTGGATATGTGTATATATAGGCAGAAAATGGATATTTATTCACTAAAAGGATATTGTTTTTTTTATTTTTAACAACAAAATACAATACTGTAGACGTAACTCTTATAAAAGAGCCCAAAAACTCTTATCACTTTAGTTTATAGATCGTTAATATATACTCCTATTTCTTCTTAATAAATTGTTGTGTATGTTACAAAAGTATATTTTTGTATTTGTTACGTTGATGGAGATTACCTAAAAGTTGATGTCGTTGTTTGTCGTGGCGAAAATACATTTAGGGATCAGTCATTATAATAGTATTTGTGACGAATGTGATGTTCTCTTGTCGATCACACGTAATATTTGATATTTATCTTGTGGTGTTCAGTGATTTGTCTTCATACTCGAATCCGAGATATCACATAAACTTCTACGAAATTATTGTGTTTCAGTAAAGGCTGTCGTGTTGGCGGTGGAATAAAGGCTATGATCACATTATTTTGTCGGCAGAGTAAGTAAATTACAAGCTTTTTGGAAGAAAAATATCTCAGCTTGATTCGGTTCTCCTACACAATTCGTTGAGCCCATAATAAGTGACACTAGCGACCCAATATTTACATTATCTTCTTTAAAGCCCGTTAGCTTCACTAGGGACATATATGATGCATTTGAGAAGAAAGTGTTTCATCCAGGTTTGTTAAAGCCCGTTAGCTTCACTAGTGACAATGGAATCTTATATATAAACCGGTTTTGAGAATGATATGTTCAATTCAGATTACATGATGCACAAATGTCTTTTGATATCCTTTCCCTCTCACACATACACACGCACCATACACAGCTACGAATATCTGAGATCTTCTGTTTTAGTGTCAGAAACAGAGACATGCTTTTCCAGGGAGTTTACCGGTCCTACGGACAATTCCGGCTTTCTCCTTCACCTTCAACTCTTCGTTCTGCCTTTGTTTCTCCGCCTGAGCTCTTGCTCCGGCAGCAATATGCTCGATGTATTCCGTGTCATCCCTAAATCTCTGCAAACCTCTCTTCCTCCTCTGTTCTAGTTCGCTCTGCTGTTCATGTACCAACCGGTTAGAGGAATAAAAAAATCTCAAATTATCATTCAATTGATATGACATGAGATTAGATTAGAACAAATTCAAATCATATAATCAAAACCTCAGATTTGTCCAGCTTCCTTCGAGCTTTGTCCCTCTTCTTCGCTTCCCACAAATCGATCTTTCTGTTTAACTTCTCGTACCTGCTTGTGTAATACATATGTTAGTGTAATAACAACAACACACATACATAAGTTCCTTTTGTGTGTGTGTGTGTGTGTCGAGGCTTACCTTGCTTTGATCTTAGCTAGTTCAGCTTTTTCCCAAGCATCAGCTGTAGAATCATCTTTTCGACTAGCATGACCAGAACTCTGCCTTGTGATCTCCCTAGGTGGAAGCCGTAGAGGCGGAGGTGATGGAGGAGGAGGAGGAGGCGGTGGTGGTGGAGCACGACGTTCTGATCGTGTCCTGACCGGTGGTTGAATCCGAATCGGAGCTGTCGGTTCAGAAATTATTGGTTTTCTTTGTCTTTCATGTCTCTCCCCTGAGTCTTCACTCTCTTTGGTGTGACCACCTCTCAAGTTCATGGAAAACGTCGGAGTCTTTTTGACCGACGGCGACTTTCTCACTGGAGACTTCAGCGTTGGAAGTTTGTTATCATTTAGCTCTGGTTCAAAAAATGAAAGTTGTCCTGTATCAACGCAAACAACAAAATGTAAATTGATTTCTAACATCCATTAAACAATTTTAGCTGAACAACAAAAACCAATCATTGTGTTATTCTGTAACGTCACCTGAGAATCTTCTTGATAAGCTTCTCGGTTCCTCTAAAGGAAACTCATCTTCTTTTCTGCTCTTGCTCCTTGACAAAGACGCTCCATGTTCAAGGCCATTCTGTTTTGTTTAAAATTTCAAACACATATCAAACTCATCACGAGTAGCTTCTTTATCTAATTAGCTGTAACAGATATATTCTTTTATAGAACCCTTACATGATAACTCTCTAGCCAAGTTTCTTCAAAAGTGGTTATGGCATAAGCAGTGGCTGCAACTGCAGCTGCGTGGTCCATGTCGCTGATCGGGTCATAGCTTTGGTCGCTCATTTGCCTCGAGAACTGCTTCTGTAACCAGTTTGAGGGCTTCTTCTTATCTACCAACAGTGAACACACAAATGTGATAAGTTCCTAAGGTGAAATTAATCAAGTATCAAAGATTGATATGGGCTATCAAGAGAAACAGAGCAGAATCTTGTGGCCACCTTCTTTGAATGAAACAGACTTCCTTGCTGGCACTTTCTTCTCTCTAGTGGAGCTACCAACCTCACCAGTTTTTCCCTGGGCAGTTGGATGCTTCCTCCTGAAACAGAGTATCAACTTCTCACATCAATATATATGGTTGAATAGAAAAGATGATTCATGAGATTGACTTGATTTACCTTGTTTGCTTGATCAAGCTATCCATTTCAAACTAAAATATGGTACTTGAGAGGGTTGGTTGGTTGCGTTTGAGGGTTTTGGTTTTTGAAGGGTTTTTGAGATTATTGCTTTGCATGCAAGTTTCAGATTTGGATCGTAAAGGTGTGCAGGGTAAGTAAAGAACACTTTTTTCTTTCTTTCCTCTCTTTGGCTTTTTGGTTCTTTGCTTTCTCAAAAGGACAGTGAACGGAACAAAAACAGATTCCTTTCTATTTTTTTTTTTTTTCCATATATTGATAACGAATCATTTACATGCAGGAAACACATCAAGTACAATCTCGCTTTGACAAAGAAAATGAATCTTAAAAACCAGAAATCACAGTGAGATTCCTATCTGTGTGTCATAAAGAGAAATTGTAGTATGCATAACTAAACGATGAAGTCTGTGTCAGAAAGTTCGAGGACTTTATGTGCACCAATCGCCTTCACGTCTGTTTTGAACGCGTTCCCTTCTATGTACCTGCAACATACATCAACCAATATTCAAATCACAACTCGGATGATTTATATATTTACCTTTACAAAGTGCCCTTAGAGAGGTTATGAATGGAACCTACATATCCTTTAGGATCGGGTGCTTGTAAAAAGCATCAGGGATTCCTCCAGTGAATTGATTATGGTCCAAGTGCCTGAAGTTATATCGAAACATGGCTCTAAGAATGCAAGACAGCACACGGGACTTAGGAATTTAGAATAGGAGGCTTACAAGTAAGTTAGTCTTGGTAAATTGGCAAGTGCAGAGGGTATTGTTCCAGTCATATTGTTGTAAGATAAGTACCTATAGACTTAAAAAGATAAGATAGGGAGAAACGAGATATAACTTGTAAGTGGTGATTCATAAATCAAAACTTGTACTCACAAGATCTCTAAGTTTGTTAGATTTGCTAGCTTGTTTGGGAGTCCTCCAGTGAAGTAATTATTGTTTAGAAACCTACAGCCAAGGTTGAATCGTAGCGTGTGTTAACATAAGGAAAAAAATTACTTCTGATGGCTAACTTTCAAACTCACTTACAGGTTTCTAAGAGCTGGAAAGCATCCTTCTATGCGTATAAGATCTTTTATATTCCCCACTAAGTGATTGCTGCCAAAATCCCTATAGACAATGCGGATCATGACAAAGATGGTAAGTATATCTATAATATGTTGGTTGATCTACAGAAGAAGAGCATTGAATGTCAAAGATTACATGTGGCGAAGCTTTTGTAATTTTCCTAGCTCTGCTGGAATACGCCCAGTGAAATGGTTCTCTTGAAAATGTAGGTACTGGAGCTCCTTGAGATTTGCAAGTTCTTTGGGGATTTCTCCTTTGAAATTGTTAAAGCTCAGGTACCTGCAATAGTGTGATCATGTTACAAAAGCTCAAAGAAACCCCTTCACAAAATGTTCATCTCTCTCTGACATGATCTAGAATTACTTACAGAAAAGTTAGACTCTTCAGTCCACCAATTTCAGGGGGCAGGGCATGTTGAAGCTTGTTCCACCTCAAATTTCTGCTTGCAGTATACAACGGAAAACAAAACAAGATCAACACAAATCAAGCAGCCACGCTGAATTTTTCAACCAATAAATATATGTTGAGATAATCGTGGAACTAATAAGAGGATTGTGAAGAAACATTACAGTGACTTAAGGTGCTTAAGCCTCCCAATTTGTGGAGGAATAGGGCCAGTCAATTTGTTGTTGTGCAGATCCCTGCCAAATTCATAAATTCAATTCCTTTAGACAATCATACCACTGAGACAGACATTTGGTAATCAAGACGAATCTGGTACCGGATGTGTTCATTGGGAATAGACTCATGATCAATGGCTCTCCTGACTTAGAAACTCTAACTTTCGAAATGCCAAATTTACAAATCCAATTCCTTGTATTTTGATACACATGAGGAAGCATTTGGAAAGTGATAGTTTCCAAGACAGGACAGCTACTGATCATGACTCATGAGTCTAATCCCAACTTAGAGAACCCAAACTTATACTCAGAAATACTCTGCCACCAAAGATTACAGAGTCCTGTGAAACTTACAGAACAGTGAGATCTAAGAGTCTCGTTACAGCCGTTGGGAAAGTCCCCACTATCGACATTGCAAACACTTCTCTGCAAACATCTCAACCACATTTGAGTGAGAAACAACAAAAAAAAAAAAAAATTCAGACCTTACAAAATTTCAGAGCTTGTGAGTCGAAAGATTACAGCTTGGTGACGACACGGTATTTGCCGACGGTGGAGCAAGTAACACCGGACCAAGGAGGCAAATGTCCATCGCCGCAAGGATCATCTCCGACCCAAGAGTACACCACTCTCCATCCCACCAAACCTTTTATCTCATTCAACGCTTTCACTGCCAAAGAGAGAAGAAACAAATAAGTAATCACCCAAATCCCTCACCGTATCAGAAAACCACATCCGGCGAAATATCACAATTTTGGAACCAATCAGATCAGAGATTAACGGGGGAATTTAGAAATCGGAAACACTTACCGTCTCGCTGTAGCGTTTTGGCGAGGGAGACATTGATTAGCAGCAAAAGAGCGTAAATCCGAAAAATCAGAGACGAGCTCAAACTAAAATGCGCCATCGATTATGCTGCAGAAGATCTGTAGAGTCTCCGGATCATAAACTCTTCGTGGGTTAAGAAGAAGAGAAGATTCGATTTTATAAACTCGGTTAGTGAAATGGTGTGGGAGAAAGAAGAATTGTTTATAGTCGCCATGGAAAGCAAGCTCAGTGGAAACAAAGCGAACCCGGCATGATCGATCAAAACGGTTGAAAATCCACAATAATTTTTTCACTTATAAATTGATTTCCTTAAATAAGCTTAATAAGGCCCATATTGTTGGGCTAAGATAGGTTCGAGATGCCCATATCCAAGGAAGGTGACACGTTATAAATCACAATTGGTTTTAAAATAGCATCTTTATATCAATAAATCCAATCCAACCAATCATAGCGAACCATAAAACGTCGACGTATTAAACTACTGTTTATATTCTTGCTTCGCCGGTGTTCCGGACACAATCATTTCCTTTTCACCGTCGCATTTATCGCCATGATCGGCAATTACTCTTTCTTCCTCCTCCTCTTCGTCTCTGTCTTTATTTCCTTGGCTAATGCGAAGGAGACCATTTCCATTTCCCCTAAAACTCTGAATCGATCTGGCGATTCCGTCGTCATTCAATGGTCCGACGTCGAGTCTCCGTCCGATCTCGATTGGCTAGGCATCTACTCGCCGCCGGATTCTCCTCATGATCACTTTATCGGTTACAAATTCCTTAATGTTTCCCCTACGTGGAAATCTGGTTTCGGTTCGATTACCCTTCCTCTCACCAATCTCCGATCGAACTATTCATTTCGGATCTTCCGTTGGACCCAATCCGAGATCGATCCGAAACACAAGGATCACGACCAGAACCCTTTACCAGGAACCAAACATCTTCTAGCTGAATCGGAGCAGCTGACATTCGGATCCGCCGTCGGCATGCCGGAGCAGATCCATTTGGCGTACGCGGAAAAGGTCAACAGGATGCGGGTTATGTTTGTAGCTGGGGATGAAGAAGAACGCTTCGTGAGATACGGAGAGGCGAAGGAGATGTTAGCAAACTCCGCGGCGGCGCGTGGGATCAGGTACGAGAGAGAGCACATGTGCAATTCTCCGGCTAATTCCACCATCGGGTGGAGGGATCCTGGTTGGATTTTCAATACCGCCATGAAGAATTTGAATAATGGCGTTAGGTACTACTATCAGGTAAACAAATCCGAACCTAGGATTCTCTTAAAAAACCAGTTTTGTTATATGGACTCTGAAGCTTATTCATGAAGCGAATCCTCTGGATAAAAAGAATATGTCAAAGGTCATGTCTTTTGATGACAGGATTGATAGATCATACTGTATGTTTTGATTGCTTGAATCAAATTTGTGATTTCCTGCTGTTATTGATCTTGTGTGGCATGTGAATCAGGTGGGAAGTGATTCAAAGGGATGGAGTGAGATCCATAGCTTTATTGCTCGAGATAAGTTCGGAGAAGACACCGTAGCTTTCATGTTTGGAGATATGGGTTGCGCAACGCCTTACACGACGTTTATCCGCACACAAGATGAGAGTATATCCACCGTGAAGTGGATCCTCCGTGACATTGAAGCGCTCGGTGACAAGCCAGCTCTTGTCTCTCACATTGGAGATATAAGTTACGCTCGTGGTTACTCGTGGGTGTGGGATGAGTTCTTTGCTCAGATCGAGCCCATCGCCTCGAAAGTTCCTTACCATGTCTGCATCGGAAACCATGAGTATGATTTTCCTACTCAGCCGTGGAAACCCGATTGGGCAGCTTCTACTTATGGAAACGACGGTGGTGGCGAGTGTGGTGTGCCGTATAGTATTAGGTTCGACATGCCTGGAAACTCATCAGAACCCACGGGAATGAAAGCTCCTGCGACTAGGAATCTCTATTATTCTTACGATATGGGATCGGTACATTTCGTTTACATCTCCACAGAGACGAATTTCCTTCAAGGAGGCAGTCAATACGAGTTCATAAAGCGGGATCTTGAGTCTGTAGACAGGAAGAAAACGCCGTTTGTTGTTGTGCAAGGACACAGACCGATGTACACAACGAGCAACGAGGTTAGAGATACTACGATTAGACAGAAGATGGTGGAGCATTTGGAACCGCTGTTCGTGAAGAACAACGTCACGCTTGCTCTATGGGGTCATGTTCATAGATACGAAAGGTTTTGTCCGATAAGCAACAACACTTGTGGCAAAACGTGGCAAGGAAACCCGGTTCATCTTGTGATCGGTATGGCTGGTCAAGATTGGCAACCGATTTGGCAGCCGAGACTGAACCATCCAGATCTTCCCATATTCCCTCAGCCTGAACAGTCAATGTACCGTACGGGTGAGTTTGGATACACTCGTCTAGTTGCAAACAAGGAGAAGCTCACTGTTTCGTTTGTGGGTAACCACGACGGAGAAGTTCATGATACCGTTGAGATGTTAGCATCTGGGGAAGTAATCAGTGGGATCAAGGAGACTACTAAAACGCCAAATCTTAAAACCGTTCCTGCTTCGGCTACACTTGTGGGAAACTCCGAGTCGAATGTGTCGTGGTATGTCAAAGGAGCAAGCTTGATGGTTATGGGCGTGCTGTTAGGGTTCATTGGCGGATATTTTACCCGAGGAAAGAAAGGATCTGCCTCTGCTAACCGTTGGATCCCAGTCAAGAACGAGGAGACGTAATATTAAGTGAATCTAATTAGGGTCACGATTTGTATAGTATCCGTTTTCCCCACGGTAAGAAACCATGTTTCTACAGTTGGGAAGAAAACATGAGTTTTTGTATACTAAAATAATATTGATTTTGTACTGTATCAGTTTATGTATATGTATAAACACAAGAATCTTCTTCATCGGATCATTGAACTGCTGATTAATAAGTATGTCCAATACAGGTTTATGTTACTGTTTTTAGCAAAGATCATCTTAAACTTCGGGTTTTTAAGATATGAAAAGATAACCTCATTGTAGCCAGAATGAGATTTGATTGGCCTGGTTTGTTTTAGATTAGATCGGGTTGAATTAGGACTAAATACACTTATTGAATTGCTGAAAAATATTTGCTTTCGCGGGGATATTGAATCAAATGACTTAAAATTTGACAAATATATACAGCAAAGAATGAACAAGGAAGAAAATTTGAATTGTACGAAGAACATAAAGAGAGGAAATACGTATAGGAATAGTAGTAATTTTTGCATGGAAGGTGTTGTTTATTTGGAAAGCAAGTGACGTGCCCGTTGATTAGCTCCTTTAACACGAGAGTTAAGCTCATCAACATCGTCGCCGAGATGATCAAGAGCCTTGTTTTGCCTGCAATAATAGTAATAAGTATTCTACAAACATACGGATAAAAATATGTAAGAAAATAAATATGTAATTGAGTTATCTGACTTGTTGAGCTCAGATCCCATATCAACGGCCATGCTCTTAAGATCACCCAAAATGTCGCTTAAATCTGAAAGTCCATCGTCTTGCTTTGCCTTCTCTTGCTGCAAATAACCACATACCATATTTTTTTTCAAATTAACTGTCGTTAATTAAGCAAAATTAGAATTATGAAGAAGAAGACAAACCTCGACTTTCTGCAACGCGTTTGATGGTTGGTCTAATGGTGGCGGTTGGCTGCTCGATCTTCCTTTCCCTCCCAAACCGAGTTTATCCCGCTCTTCCTTGTTATTTCCGCTCTTCTTCGACGGTTTATCTAAACATTCCACAAAAAACATGATCAACACAAACATGCACTTTATCCAATTAATAACCAAGAATCAGTTTCAGTAGCGTCTAGTCTCTACGGTTTCAATCAAAAGGGTTAGAAAACCTGGTGTGATCATAGGTCCTGCGATATCTTTAGTCTTCTTCGGCTTCCATGGCTTAGAGAACATTCCTCCTAAGTTGTTCAAAAGCTTCTCTCCCTGATATCAAAACAAAATCACCTTTTTTAACCCATAAAAACAGAACAGATCATTTCACATTCGAAAAAGAGTATGAAGATAAAAACGGCTTTACCCGACTGAGATCTTTATCCATTTCAACAGCCATAACATGAGTCCTGTTGATCTGTTCACCTTGCGTGTGCAACATTTCGAGCGTCCTTGTGGCATCAGATCTTATATCTTCAGCGATCTTAAGACAGTTGTTCACGCCTTTGGTCGTTTCTTCGGCTTTATAAACCGCATAGTTCTCTAATTCTTCTGTCGTTTGGCTCTGCAGACCACCAGAATCGCGGAAGCCGTTCTTGTATTTGTCTTCTTCGTCGAAATCTGGTGTTATCAGGATTGGTTCTGAAGAAGTTCTTCTTCCTACATTGATTGTTCCTCCTTTGTTTGCTGATTCGTTGGGAACCTTGTTGTTCCCCGGAGATTTGAAAAATCCAAACATCTATTGACAACGAGACAAGATTATTGATCAAACTTTTCAACTTAAACTTATTGTGAGATTGGCATTGGGGATTTTACCTTGTGAAATATCTGAGAGAGAGAAAAGATTCCGATTAAGAAAAATCCATAGAAAGGAAAAGGAAAAGGAAAAGGGTTATCCAAATATAGAAACCCGTGACAAAGATCTAAAACGGATCAAAAGAATCGTTTAGATTCTCTCTCTGTTTGTGCACCGTTTAAACGATCTAGAGATGAAGGGAGACCCGTCGGAGAAGGAGAAGTAATCAGCCGCCACGTCACGTCCTCTGTTTGTTCCTACTTGCAGATCGTTAAGAGTCTCTGTTCTGTAGTAGACTAAACACTCTGTTTTCAAGGCAGTCTCAAGCAAAGATCATAGGGGACATAAATTGATTACAGATGAAAAAGTTAGTTTATTAAACATTTTTGAAGATTTTTTCTTCTTCTTACAAGAAAATCTAATTCTGATTTACAAAAGGCAATAAATAACCTTAAGTACCAAAAAACAAAAAGCTTCCAGGGCTTCGACTATACAGAGAACTCCCTGAAAACTTCCAACTTGCATTTTTCTTAAATAATGCATTTACATACACAAGATTCAGAGCTAGAGCAGAGCAACAATGGAGACTGGAGACCGTTCTTCATTTACTTTCCCCTAGAGAAATCATCCCATGGGTCTTGGCCGAAGATCTCGTCGATGATGTTTGAAGTTGGAAGAAGATCAAAGTTGCTGCTCCAATGATCCGGCAGTATTGAATCACAAGGATCGAATGAATACGAATGATCCACAAGATCATTGCAGTGGCGCCAGTAGTTCCCAACGTCGGATTCTTCTCTGTTTCTAACTGGACATCGAGAGTACATCACATTGGACTGGAAGTCATAAGACATGCAAGAATCTTCTTCAGCATTCACCTCTTCTTCTTCTTCTTCTTCGTCTCTTGAGAGTCCTTTTCCAGTTTTCTCATCCGGAGTTTCAGCACCATCAAAGGTGTTGTCATACTCTACTTGCCACTCGTCGTCGTCACTATCAACGTCTAGGCTTTTAGACCGGTTCTGGACAGCTCGTCTTCGGAGGATGAAGACATTGAAGTAATAGCTCACAATCTCCTTCATGGTCCGTGAAGGGAACGCAGACTTCAGGTGCTTCCAGAAATCTCGGTCCAGAGAAACCGGATTGGAGTAAACAATCTCGTGGAATTGATCTTCCTCGTCTTCAGTTAGCTTACCAGCGACTTCCTCCCCCATTTCACCGAGACCTATGTTCACGCATCTTTCATACCCAAGAGCATCAAACAACTCCTCTCTGTTTTCCATGATATGCTGCTGCACACATCTGATGGATCCTTTATCAAGGCAAATGCATTCGTTTCTTCCTTCACCGGTTTTGCAAACCTCGGTTTCACTGTCAGGCATCGGAATCACGCACTTCCCCATCGCTTGTTCTTCATCGTGATCAACAGCGTCATCCCTGACTTCTTCCTTGACATATTCAGGAATAACAGCCTGGTACTCCGACCCGATTGGAACTGGTCTCCTAGGAGACATCTGACACCACTCAACATCATCCGCTGGGCAAACTGGTCTCCAGGGGGAATCTGACTCAGGAGATTCATGAGAAAGCGTGGACTGAGTCGTCGCGCCAGAGAGAGCATCCTCCTCAAAACCGGATGTGATCCAAGAGAAAGGTGCGTTGCTCTCAAAGCCCTTCTCAACATAGTCCCCACATTTAAACCCGTAGAGATCACTGGGAATGGGATCATCTCCTGTTTAGTAAACCACAACGCAAGACAAACAACAATTCAGCAAGATGCTTGGAGTTTTATCATGTTAACCCCTCTGCGAGATGTATATTATTATTACCTATGACAACATTCGACTTCTCCAGTGAGAAACGATACGGAACAACTCCTTCATCGAGTTTGGCCAGCTTATTGCAATAGCTAATCTGTGTTTCTTGCTTCACGTTGTGCTCTTGCACATCCGCAGCGTCAAAAGTGCGCTTGAAACCCATCTTTTTTAACCTGTAAATTCAAAACCAAAACCATTTAGTAACTTGGCGTGAAGGTTATCTATGTCAACTGCTTTTTAATTAACATCCACAGACCCACACTTGCAAGCGACACACAAACCATAAGGCTCTAAGACCGCTGTTAAGGTAAGTATTGAGGTGGATTTAATTATAACTATAAGGAAAAAATATTTACCCCCAATTTAATATGAGTAAATTAAAAAATCCCCAAATTTGAAGGAAACCCTAACCCTAGATTTCAATTGACGGATTAATTCACCAAATCACGAAACAAAAATCAAAGAATCGGTTAATTATTGGGGGAATAGACAAAGGCCCTCGATTAATTGACAGATCTGACAAACCCTAGAACATCAAAGTCAACGAGATCCCAAATCGGATTAAAAAAATTGGGGGAAACTAGAAATTAAGAACGAATCCGATAAGAACATCAAAGGAATTCAACATCTAAACAAAAGATTTGATCAGATCTGTAGCTTAAAGATCTAGATCTAGAAATTCGATGACTCAAGCCCACAACGAATAGATGATATCAAAACAGGTATCAATTGAAAGATGAGATCAAGAGGAACAAGAAAATTACAATAGATTTGAAGATCGATTTGGGAGATGGAAGGGATCTGAACACGAATTGAAGAAAAAATTGTAGGGGAAAAAAAAAATTGGGGGAATTTTGAAAGCGGCTAGGGTTGAAAATTCGTGCTTTTCGATTAGGGGAAGACCCGATTATGAAACCCGGATTAAATTCGGATACCGAGACAACAACGAATGAGCTGTACCTTATTAAAATCTTTGAATGATGCGAAATTACAAAAGTATCCTCGCCGTTTACCAGCACGTGCTTAGCAACTTGCGTTGGGATATCCGCGTATCTATTTTCTAAACCGAATCGAAATAATTTGCGTCGACATAAATTGGTTATACATATGGACAAACCGGACCAAGCGAATTGGACCGGTTAATAATCTAATTTATCATAAGCCCTAAATTCCCAAATCAGATTCCCAGGCGACCATTCTTCAACCTGTCGACAACACTCCCTACTTTTGCTTCTCGATATCGCAATTTCGCCGAGGAGATTCCTTCTCTGTTTCTCTTTTGATTCCGGAGCTCTACTGTTCTTCGTAGCATTCAGATATCAGCCCTCGCTGAATCTGCTCGTGATCTGAGTAGGTATAGCTCATCCCTTTGGATTCATGGAAATCCTATTTTCGTGGATAATCTTTGTTTGCTTGATTTTTTATGATTGATCCTTGATGTTACTTAGCTGCTGAAAGCTGGATGCTTTAAACTTGTTCTGGCGATTGATATGATAGTGTTAGTAGTATTTCTGGAATTTTAGTTTGATAATTGAATCTGAGTCTTTGCGTATCCTTATTATTATGTGTTGATGTTCTTATTGCTGTTTGGATGATTGTTATTGATAATCTATATGGATTCCATTTTTGTAGGCTCTGTGTTTCCTTCAACAAGTTTTGTGCGGCGATAAAACAAAAAAAATGGCGTTAGTTGTGATATGTGGGCAACCGTGCAGTGGGAAATCAATAGCTGCTGCAACTTTAGCCGAAACACTGAAAGAATCTGAGACGAAACAGAGTGTCAGAATCATCGACGAGGCTTCTTTCCATCTAGACCGTAACCAAAACTATGCCAACATGCCTGCAGAGAAGAACCTGAGAGGGAAGCTCAGGTCAGATGTTGATAGATCAGTCTCGAGAGGCGACATTGTGATTGTAGATTCCTTGAACAGCATCAAAGGTTACAGATACGAACTGTGGTGTATCGCTCGTGCCGCCGGGATTAGGTACTGTGTTGTCTACTGCGACGTGGATGAAGCTCATTGCAGGCAGTGGAACAAGGAACGCAGTGATAGATGCGAGGCTTCATACGACGATGGTATATTCGAAGATCTGGTGAGAAGGTTCGAGAAACCCGAGAGAAGAAACCGATGGGACTCGCCTCTCTTTGAGCTATTCCCATCTCGAGAAGGGATAAACAAATCGTCCCCTGTGATCTCAGAGGCTGTGACTTATCTAACCAAGACTGTTGATTCCAAAACGCAAGACGTGAGAATTCTCCAGCCGAGTATCGCGACTCAGTCCGCTAGATTCTCGGAAGCGAACTCTCTTTACGAGCTGGACAGAGCGACGCAAGAAATCATCAACGCGATCGTGGAACAACAAGCGCTTGGTGGGGCTATATGCAGAGTCACTCTTGGCCAAGAAGTGCCTCCGATCGAAATCTGCAGACCGGTTGGGTTACCAGAGCTAAGGAGGCTTCGAAGAACGTTTGTTAAATTGATGGGTCAGTCGAGTCTGAGTGGGCCACCGTTACCAACTGATGCAGATAGCGCAAAGAGACGGTTTGTGGATTACTTGAACAGAGAGTTTGGTGGTCATAACGCTTGAAACTTGTGTGTGTGACTGAAGACAAAATATCTTATACAATTTGGTTTTCATTTTCTAAACTCAAGTCAAGTTTCATCCTTTTTTTTCCTTCAAAAGAAATTTTTGGTGCTAAAATCAATGATGTATTTCTTTTTGGAAACATATGATATAAAAAAAAAGTGTTGTGTATGTAATAATGGTAGTTAAGAAATGAAGATACAAAGACATCTCTTTTCAATTATATGCTCCTTTTTGTATTGTTTCTTTTAACATAAAGAAGACAAGGACATGAATCCGTTTGACATTCGGATGTTTGTTTTTCTGGATTTTAAAGTATAAAACTAATAAATAATATTTCTGTCGGCAAATTAATTATATGCTCCAATAATTCACCCCCTTTTAAAAGTTAATTGCATCACTTGAGTTGAGTGTTTAGATTTACACTTGCACTAGTTTCTAATTTTGTGTCGAGGCTCTTCTTTCTCGTCAAGATAAGTTAATACTGATTTTCTTAATAGCACCATATTATAGTAATGATTTTCTACGGCCCTAGCCATTAGCTGGGCAGTTAAAACTGAACTCAGCTATATTTATTAAGAAAATTGTGAAGAAACAAAATCGTTGATTCTTATGATCATTTATGATTTGCTGCTTACATGTATGTAACATTTAATAATTTTATTTATCTCTATATTCAGAAAATGATAAAATCACAAAGTAGACGCAGAGCAGAAAAGCTTACAGTTCCTTTACAACTGGAGTCTCTGTATTCTATATTTCGTTTCGCCATTGTTGGTCGAAATATAAATCCTTCTTCTCCACAACTCATCACTGCTTCTCAAAACCCTGATAGAATTCGGTTATCCTCGTGGATTATTGGTTCTCTCGAGTTTCTTTTGATCTGATCCTCTTCGCCATTTTCGAGATCTCATCATTGGGATTTACGAGGTCCTTTCTTGGTTCTTTTCGCTTACGTTCACTATAAATTTACGTCGAGAAAAGGAAATGCCTTTGTGCTTTTTATATTTAAAATACTGAAAAAGGTAAAAGTTTCTATCTTTTTTTAGGGAAATTTCAGTTTTTGATTTGAGTTATTTGGTTGCAGGTAGTTGATTGATTTGCTTCACACCCCAGTTTCGTTTCCGTAATTCGCATTTACGAGTTAGTTTAAAGACTCGTTTTGTATTGGTTCTGAATTTGGCATACAGTGAGTGATGCTTGCTCTTTCCTGATTTGGATAATTCCTTGGATTTGGGGGAACTAAGTATTAAGTACAAAGAATCCGATGACGAATCTTCTGGGGACAGAAAGAGGAATTGTTCGTATAGTGTAGATTTGCTTACAAGAGAGAGAGAGAGAGAGAGAGCTGTTGTTTCTGATCGTGGGACATGAGTTTTGCCTCAGTGTTTGGTCTCAGACCACGGATCAGCGGGTTACTTTTCTTAATCCTCGGTGTTGTTGCTTTAGTTACCATTTTAGTACCTTCAACATCAAATTCAGATGATTCTTCTACAGCTTCAACGGCGCGAGTGTCGCCAAACAACATTTATAGTAACTTTTGGAGGATAAAGGAACAAGCAGCTGTTGATTATCTAGATCTACGGTCTCTCTCCTTGAGAGTCAATCGGTTAAAAGAGTTTCCTTTGTGTGGCAAACAAAGAGAGAACTATGTTCCTTGTTATAGCACATCAGATCGAAACTGCGAGCTTGCGAGAGAAGAGGAAAGATGTGTGATTCGTCCTCCAAGGGATTATAAAATACCACTTAGATGGCCGGTTGGTAGAGATATTATATGGAGTGGGAATGTGAAGATCACCAAAGATCAGTTTCTTTCATCAGGGACTATGACTAAAAGGTACTGATCCCACTGAAGTTTTAAATCAGACAAGTTTTGTGTTACGCAGTTTCTGCTAGTGTTGTACCATCTTAATCTCGTATAATACTATCTCTAGGCTAATGTTGCTTGAAGAGAATCAAATTACGTTTCACGCTGAAGATGGCTTGAACTTCGACGGGGTCAAAGATTACGCTTTTCAAATTGCTGAGATGATAGGATTGGGAAGTGATACTGAGTTCCCTCAAGCGGGTGTAAGTCGTTTCTCCTTCTTTTTCTTATTACTTTTCCTATCATTAGTCTTCTTTCGTTGGTTATGTTATGAAAACTCTTTACATTCTCTTCCGGTTCTTGCAGATACGGACTGTGTTAGACATCGGTTGCGGATTTGGTAGCTTTGGCGCACATCTAGTGTCTTTGAAGCTGATGCCTATATGTATAGCAGAGTATGAGGCAAGTGGTAGCCAAGTCCAGTTAGCTCTAGAGAGAGGCCTTCCTGCAATGATTGGCAATTTCTTTTCGAAGCAGCTTCCGTATCCAGCTTTATCATTTGACATGGTCCACTGTGCTCAATGTGGGATTACTTGGGATATAAAAGGTAGTTTATTCAGTATGGTTCATCGTCTTTCACCTTATTTTGGTTTAGATCTGTGAACTGGGTTCTTGAAATGTGACTTCTTTACAATGAAAGCAGATGCAATGCTACTCTTGGAAGTGGATCGTGTTCTCAAGCCCGGGGGATACTTTGTTTTAACGTCTCCTACAAGCAAAGCACAGGGGAATTCACCGGATACTAAGAAAACAAGCATCTCAACGCGAGTGGCTGAGTTATCCAAGAAAATCTGCTGGAGTCTCACGGGTCAGCAAGATGAGACGTTTCTTTGGCAGAAAACAGCGGATCCATCTTGCTATTCATCTCGGTGAGTATGGGAACAGAGTCCTTAAGCTTGACTTTTACTACTCACAGCCTCACTGAATCTGTTCTTTCTTCTTCCTACTTGTTGTAGCTCGCAAGCTTCTATACCTCTTTGCAAAGATGATGATATTGCTCCGTATTACCGACCACTGGTTCCATGTATAAGTGGAACCACGAGTAAACGCTGGATTCCTATTCAGAACAGATCTACAGCTTCAGGGACAAGCTTGTCCGAGCTTGAAATTCATGGAAAGTTTTGGTTTTTGGTGTGCCATTCTCTGTTTTTCATTGTTCATACTTTTCTAGCTAATTAATGTGTTTCTTCCCGATAAATTTCTTTCAAACAGGTATTAAACCTGAAGAATTCGTCGAGGATATACAAGTATGGAGATCAGCACTTAAAAACTATTGGTCCTTGCTTACGCCTCTGATTTTCTCAGACCACCCGAAAAGACCAGGCGATGAAGACCCTCTTCCACCTTTTAACATGATACGCAACGTCATGGACATGAATGCTCGTTATGGGAATCTGAATCTCGCCTTGCTCAACCAAAGAAAATCGGTCTGGGTGATGAATGTGGTCCCAGTGAAAGCACGTAATACTCTTCCTATTATATTTGATCGAGGCTTTGCTGGCGTTCTACATGACTGGTGAGTGTGTTTCCCTCGAAGATGTTGTTGTTCATTGCATGAAAACGTTTGAGTGCGACACAAGAATTGTTTCTTGACCATTTATTGCCTGCGTAGGTGTGAACCATTCCCCACTTATCCGCGAACATATGACATGCTTCATGCCAATGAGCTTCTCACACATCTTAGCTCAGAACGGTGCAGCCTAATGGACTTGTTCTTGGAGATGGACCGGATTCTCCGCCCTGAGGTTTTGTTTTCTACATTCCCACCGTTTTTTTAACAAGATCCTTATTAGGAATTGAGAAACCAAACTGAAGCTGGGAGAAACTTAACTTTGTCTGATTGGTTGTTTGATAGGGATGGGTTGTTCTAAGCGATAAGCTTGGAGTGATTGAGATGGCTCGCGCACTTGCTGCTCGTGTGCGTTGGGAAGCACGAGTCATCGATCTTCAAGACGGTAGTGACCAACGGCTCCTCGTTTGTCAGAAACCTTTCCTGAAAAAATAACTCATCCAGAATGCAAAACAGTCAAAATTTTGCTTCTCTGCAACATCAACACTTTGAGTACAGTTTCTTTCTTTTTGCCTGGTAAGCTCCCTCCCCCTCCCTCTCTCTTCAACGAATCTCTGAGCTTTTGAGAACTTAAAGAACCCACAAAAGTCATCTTTGCGCACCAATGAATAAGAGATGAGACACTTTGGTTCACAGATTCAAATGACGCCTGCAAAGTTCTGGAGAGAAATCAACATTTCTTTAAGAAGATGAAAATGGAGAGTGGGATTTCTACGAGTGGAAGAGTTATTTTAAAACTTGTTTCTTCTTTCCGGTTGCAAAACAGAATTGCAGTGATATATTCTTTCATTCTTCCTTTTAATTTCTTTGCAAGAATCAAAACCAAATTTTGTTCCGCAGAGGAAGGAAAGTACATTATAGAGATTTTTTTTTTTTGGCTCTCGGTTAGTTAGTTGTTTATAAAACTAAAGTTGATTCATGATTGCATGATATGAATTATCTTTTTTCCTGTAAAATGAGAAAAAAATGTGAAAAAAATGGAGATGCGGGGGATCGAACCCCGTGCCTCTCGCATGCAAAGCGAGCGCTCTACCATTTGAGCTACATCCCCTTTTGAAATGTTTGTTCGCATATTTACTAAATCATTAAGTTGATTAATCTACTACACACAAACGCTGAAAAAATTACTTGTTATTTATGGATATACATTGGACTTTTATACACAGGGTTTGGGCTCACAGTTTTAATCGGAAATCCATGATGCGTATTTATTTTAATACGATTGTTACATGCAGGTACGTTTACCAATCGAGTTCCGTGTGAGTTAAGAAACACAGCCCGTTTAGCGTGCAATTCTATTCTTGGTCACACTGTTTGAATTTTGATACAACTTAGGACTAATATTCTGTTTGTTGAAATTTCGTGTTAATCGAATTATAGTAATTATATTAGTACTTAAGTTTTTAACCGTGTTACAGTGCTGATGATTCGTTTCTAGCAATATTTGATTGTACCAATCGAGTTCCGTGTGAGTTAAGAAACACAGCCCGTTTAGCGTGCAATTCTATTCTTGGTCACACTGTTTGAATTTTGATACGACAACTTAGGACTAATATTCTGTTTGTTGAAATTTCGTGTTAATCGAATTGTAGTAATTATATTAGTACTTAAGTTTTTAACCGTGTTGCAGTGCTGATGATTCGTTTCTAGCAATATTTGATTGTATCAATCGAGTTCCGTGTGAGTTAAGAAACACAGCCCGTTTAGCGTGCAATTCTATTCTTGGTCACACTGTTTGAATTTTGATACGACAACTTAGGACTAATATTCTGTTTGTTGAAATTTCGTGTTAATCGAATTGTAGTAATTATATTAGTACTTAAGTTTTTAACCGTGTTGCAGTGCTGATGATTCGTTTCTAGCAATATTTGATTGTAGTAACGATTAGGCCTCACAAATATCTCACATATATAGAGAATTTTGATCTCTCATTTGCTTAAAGAAGAAAGAAAGATTGACACTATATCATTTACGAGTTAGATCACCAAACCATTGATCGATGTATGTGTCTCGAAGAGAACACTTTTTATTACTATTTTTATTATTTAATACGATTGCAAGTTTACACTTTTAAATTATATTCGTCAGAAAAGAAAAGAAAAAATTACATACATAAATCAATGGTTTGGTGATGAAATTCGTAAATCGCAGTGTCAATTAATCTTTCTCGCCATTCTTTTTTTTTTTTATCGAAAGATCGGAGAAATCCACTACGAAAAATGAGTTGTACTCTGATCTCAACCTTAGATTAAATCGAAAATATTCTTGAAGCTGGCTAATTTTATTCAAACGAAACTTAAACAAGGTCTCTTAAAAGACAATCATAAAACACACACCAAGCATTTAACTTAAAAATAGCTAACATTACAATTCTGATGCACATTCCATAACTCTCTCTCTCTCTTTCGAACATGACGTAATCAAGAAAGTAGCAGAGCATCATCGTCTTCGTTTGTGGCAGACCGGGTTAAACGCAAACGGACCGACGTTAAAGATACCGTAGACGAGCTTGTTAATGACCACCGCAGATTTTCCAGGCGTTCTCTCCGGCTCGAGTACGGCACCGACATCTCCATCCATAAGCTTGGAGACTTTGTTGCACTTGTAGTCCTTTGATTTCACCAGATACACACGGCATCCCCTGATACCGAAGTTCGTCACCGTCTTAGGAGCCAAAAGCAAGAAGTCTCCGTTCTTGCCCGTCTTTGTCTCTGCGATTATGTCCTTCTTCGTTCACTTGCACACTAGTCTCACCACAGCACCTGAACAAACCATAATGAAATGTTAATAACATCCATAAGATAATCTTTTAGACTAATGGAAACAGTCATGCGCTTGTTAATTATTTGTTTGACTGATGAGTGCAAGAGTGCATTTCATCAATTTTATTTTATTTTTACCTATTTACGAAACATTATTGACTAATTTTGGACCTATGATCCCACTTGTCACGTTTTGAAAATTTGAATTATTTTTCGAAGTACATTATTATTGAGTAAATGCGTATGCAGAGAAGAGCAGCAAGTTCATTTTTCCCAAAGATTTATTAATGCGTATGCAGAGCGGAGCAGCAAAATTGATTAAAATGTGTATAAAATATATAATGAAAGTGAAAGAATGAACTAATGAATAAAGTTTTAACCTTCAACGGGTTTAGCGTCATTGAGTGTTTTGGGCCCGGAATAAGCGTATTTGCAGCTTCTGCAGTAAACCCTACCCCGAATGGCGACTAGACTCCTGTTGAACTTCGGCGGGTAAACCGGTCGCTTGGTTGGAGGAGAGACGGGAGGCTTAACCGGTTGGTGGGGTTGAGGGCGAGGGACCGGCGGGGATTTGGCCGGTTGGTGGGGTTGAGGGCGAGGGTGAGGGCCAGGCCCGGCCTAAGGTGGTGGGCAGAGGTGCGCTCGCCCAGGGGCCCATATTAAATTTCAGACATTTAAAAGTTTATTTTCGAAAATATTGATCTAATAAAATATATTTTTAATCTAAATTATTATTTTTTATTAACAAAATCATTAGAAAAAGGTTTAAAAAATTTAGATTTTTAATATTAAAGGGTCCAAAATTTCAATTTTTGATATTGAAAGACCTAAAATTTCAATTTTTAATATTAAAGGGCCCAAATTTTTTTCTGTTCAAAGACTTTAAAATTCATTGGACCGAGGCTGGTAAGAGCGAGGGACCGGCGGGGATTTGGCCGGTTGATGGGGTTGAGGGCGAGGGACTGGCGGGGATTTGGCCGGTTGGCGAGGTTGAGGGTGAGGGTAAGGGCGAAGGACCGGCCGGAATTTGGCAAGTTGGTAGGGTTGAGGACGAGGATGAGGATGGTCGTGATGGTAAGGAATAGAGCAGACAAAATAATTTGAGTCTCATGATTCACTTTTTCAGTCGTGAAAACAGAGGAAATAAGATAACAAAATGATATAAAGCACACCAATGCATTCTTACTCAATATCTCCATGTTTTCTTATTTAGTTAATAATATGTATTGAGACTATTAAATAGAATCTATTTATATAAAAAAGGTACAGTATTATGCAACAACTTTTTTTTCTTTTTTCGGAATAAAAATAAAATAAATTGAAATGAATGTAAATTAATTCTAGATTGCAATTTAAAAAAATAAAATCATATAAAGATTATTTACAAAGTTGTTATCGGTTACAAAGAAAAAAATTAAAAATCATTCTTTTCATTCTATAAAAGAAAAAAATCAAATCTTTTTGAAAAATTTATTTCACTTCAAAAAGATGCTAAGTAATAAATGTAATTACATTTTCATTTTCATTCCATATATATTGTTTTTTTTCATATAAATTTAATCCATTTTTAAAAATGTTATGCATCCTTCGTTGTATGACATTCAACATCGGTGGCTATTTCAGATCACTTTTAATTTTGAGTATTTCTTTCTATGCTCACATTTATAATTCCTTGAATTGTGTTTCCTCTGAAAATCTGGTAGTTACTTTGAATAGTAAGCGATTGACGTTACAAATTTAAATCAACCAATAACATAAAAACTAGAGAAAAAACGACAAAAAATACATGGAATATCGAAAGAATATCAGTATAAGTGACATATACATAACATAACTGATATGATACCACACACAATATGATTTATGATTTATGATTATGAATATATAAAAAGAGAAAGATATTAAGAGAAAACACTTCCACCTTCGATTGTATGCAATTCATCTTCTTCCGTTTTGGTCTTCAATTCGTAAACGGCACAACCGTGCCTATATATTAGGCGAACCAGCTTAGGCACGTAGTCAAATCCATTGTTAAAATAAGTTCAAACCCAACATTTTGCTGTTTCAGTCGTGTCCATCGGAAGAACCGTTTCATTAAGATGTGACAAATCCAATCTATATCTAATGTGACTCATCAGTACGTATATTCAGAAACGTTTTATTTTATTCATGAGGATGTTAAATGTGAGTCATGCATGTGACATCATGTCCGGAAAATGATAAATAGAGAAATAGAAATCTATAAGTAAAACTATTACTACACAAATAAAAACCTATACGAAAAATGATTGAGAGATACTGTTGTGTGGTTCTGAAAAATAAAAATCTATCAATGAAGAAAATTATAGTATGGTATTGAGAAAAACAAGTCAAACAGAAATACGTTAAATACATAATTACGAAAGATGCGTTATACAAAAACCAGGGAGGGCCCCGCATAGGCCGCATATCTCCAATACGTAATGCTAGTTTGTCAATTTCTTTTTCTATTGTACGTTATAAATCAACCTACAAAATTATACTTTTTTTTTCTTTTAAAAAATGTGTATACGATCTGTTTAGTCACACTACAAGACAATAAATATCGTAGTTGGAACCAAAAAACTGACTTACAAGGTTATTTTTAATATTAACTAAATCACCTTTCATTTTCAAAAAAGTCTTAATTTCTATTAAAAACAACTTAGAAAACAATATGTAAATATTGCATATAAACTGAAGTTCATAAACCCGAAAAGAAAATATTCTTTATTTTAGCATATTTCCTTTATGTATTTATGAAAGTTTACATTATATTAAAATTAGGATTATGTTAATGTTGTATTCTATTCTCATATAGTAAAAACACAATAACTCAATAATATATCTATTATATTTACAATTTCTCTACATCTTCTCTCTCTAAAGCCATCATCATCTTGGTATTGGTGTGTGTTCTTGGTCTAAGGTCAAAGTCTGTTTTGTGCTTCCCCTAAAGATCGATCTTAGACTAATCATCATGAGAGTGCTTCTGGGTCTCTTGCTTCTCTTGGCCTTGAGCACATGTTCAAGTAAATCCTTCTTCTTCCCTCTTTTGTTTAATTCTTTTCCCCATATTTCAATCAAGCTTTATGTAAAGGAATGATCTTTTCAGTCTGTACACTATCACGATGCCCTGAAGTATTAACAATTTCAAACACGATCTTAGATGTCTCTTGCTCTGTCTCTGTCTCTAGGTGCAATTTACTGTCTCTGCAAAGATGGTATAGGAGACCAAGAGCTTCAAACATCAATAGACTATGCATGTGGAGCCTTAGCAGATTGTAATCCAATCCAAGAAAAGGGTCCTTGTTATCAACCAAACACAATCAAAAGCCACTGTGATTGGGCTGTTAACAGCTACTTCCAGAGAGCAGGTCAAGTCTCTGGGAGCTGCAATTTCTCCGGTACGGCCACTACCAATCAAAACCCTCCTTCAAGTAAGTCAACCGAGAAACAAAAAAGTCTATTATAAGCTCTGATATGAGAAAAAAGTTGTGATCTTGATGGTGTTCTTTTGTGCAGATTTGGTTACTGGTTGCATCTATCCTTCAAGCGCCAGGTAATGATCAATTCCTTTAAAGTAAATCTCTCTCAGTTACATTAATGCGACTTTTAAAAAGGGTTTGGTGTTTTGTAACAGCTCTGCAGGGCCGCCTCCATCAACGACACCACCGACGGGGACGACTCCGACAAACGGAACCACTACATTTCCGGGAACTCCGCTTCCGGGAACTCCGTCTCCAGGAACTCCGTTTCCCGGAACACCTCCTGTGTTTGGTCCAACGGGAGCCTTGAACCCAGGCAACGGTGCTTCCAGTTTAGTCACCTCCTCTGTTTTCACACTCTGTTTCTCATCACTAGCGTTACTATGGGGTTCTGATGTAAGGTTGGGATTTCGCCACGTGTAGAGCACAAAAGACATCAACTTGAGTTCGTCTTTGATTCCCCCTTTTGGGTGGAAAAGAGAGAGCTTAGGTGTTTACTGTGGCATCTTTCTCTGTTCTTTCATCTATGCAAAGGTTGCTCTAATTGGAATCTTGAGTAAAGAAAAAAAAGAAAACAGAACATAAATCTCAGCGATGAGAATGGAAACTAATGAGTTTTTATGATGAAGACTTGTCAACAACAACCTTACCAACTCGTGGGCTGTGTGATCATTTTTGATTGTATACAAAAGTAATTTCTCACAATCAATCATAGACTAAAAAAAAATGAAGAAGTTTTGTTTAGTGTGAGGGAGAATATTTGTTTAATTTATTAAACAAAAAGACCAACCAACAATGAATGAGTTGAAGTACCAACTAAAGAGAATATTTAGGTAAGTAACAAACGTTCAATAGTAATGGCCCAAAAGCTCACTAAGATATACTTTCAACCTCTTTACACCTGCAAGTCTCTGTAACAAACTCTGTTATCAGTTTAGCGGCAGCAACTGGTTTCTCGACGTGAGGAAGATGCCCACAGTTTGATATCTGTTCAACACGTGCGTTCGATAACTCTCCGTGTAGTCTCTGCATGGAAGAAGACATGATTTAGGCTTTAGAGAGACCATTTAAAGATCATAGAAGAGATAAACTAAAAATCTAACCCAAGCGAGCTTGTTGCTAATGATTTGGTCATCCTCTCCCCATATTATCAGTGTCTTCTGTGAAACCTGCAGTCAAAAAATCTGTTGAGTAGCCTGAAACTAAACAATGGAATAAGAATGCAACTGTTTTCCTCTACTTGATTTCATCTTATTCCAAAAATCTTAATGAACCGGTTAAGTGAGTGAAAGAGAGTTGTACCTTTTTGATAAGAGAAGTAACGTTGTATCCTCCGCTTGTCATAAAACTAACAGCTGCATCTTCCCACCAAGGATATAGACAATGCAAGCGACCAATCTAAGATTGAGCTTGAGAAAGGAAAGAATCAGATTTGAGAGCTATACATTTTATCATCGATTAACAACTCCTAATGAAAACTCCTTTACCTTAGTCCAGTCCCAGCTAGTTTCCAATGAGATACCATTGAAAGAAAGGAAGTTTGCATATAACCGCAATGGAACACTCTTGAGTAGATATACCTAAGATTCCAAATTCATACACCGATAAAGCGTAAAAGGATCGTGAACAGTTTCACTAGGTGGATATGTATTAGATGAGAACTTACACCAGCATAAGCTGCTGCTTTGGGTAAAGTTGCCAAGTTTCCTGTACCTTCTGAGTAAACGCTTGCGTCCATTAAAACCAAGGACTCAACCTGAATATTCATATATCTTTCTCATAGTCAATATCTGCTGAACATGAGTACTCGTAAAAAGCTCCTTGATGTTTTATATAAGTACCGCTTCAGGATGATTGACCGCAATGTCTATGGCAACAGCAGCACCGAGGCTCGGTCCAACCAAGACCACAGGCCTTTGGATATGAGTCTTCCAAAACTACGGATCACACAAGAATGGCATAAATCAATTATTTCTCCCTTGGAAAACAGAGTAAAGAAAATGAGTACAAACCTTGTAAAAATGCTCTCTTTTTGACGCTACGTCACACGGTGGACGTTTCCCTTGCAAAACAGAGAAGCAAGAAAGAATCAGAAAACTGTTGGCAAGTTTGGGAGAATAAGAGAAGAAAAAAAGGATAAGAGAGGGAAACACCTAAATCAGAAAAACCCCAACCAAGGATATCAAATGCCCAAGTTTCTAAACCGGCTTCTTCGAGCAATGGATAAGTGTATCTCCACTCTAAACAAGAACTGTTTTACAAGTGCTTTAAACTCAAGCCATACTAACTTACTCTAGAAACCGCCGCATTTTTTGATTAGTACCTATCGAATCCGTGCAGGAGCACCACAGGACTTGTCTCATTACGCATCAACGGTGTTACGCAACTGCTCATAATTCTATCTTCCGTGAAGCTCACCTACACATTTTCCACATTACATGAAAATGGTAGGAAGATCATGATATTACAGGTTCGTGATTCTTAGATTTCTTTAAATGTTTAACCTCACTTCACTTGAAAGTATGATTGATTAGGTTTTTAAAATTGAATTTAAGACTTTAAGTCAATCAGTAATATGTGCCATGGCTCAGTTCCAGCTAATACAGTAAAATCTAGTTGAGAAGCAGCTCAGAAATCTTTTGAATCATATTTCCGACAAATGTTTTTTTTTTTAAATTGCAGGTTGCAGAAATAAACATGGATGATGAAGATTACTTGTACGGGAAGCCTCTCGATTCTGGCGGCAAGCTTCAGAGCAAACTTGTCTTTGATTCTCTCAACATCGCTCGGCAGAAACGTCGGAAATTTCTCCGCCGTCACCATGAGCGACCTTTTCATTTTACTTCTCACCTTATAAATCGGCCGACCGATTCCCGTCGCCGTCGCCGCTGACAGCATCGTTGAGCTTTTTGCTCCGTCTGCCACGACGACGCCTTCTTAGCGGTTGGTACCTGATAGAGAAGATATCACACGTGGCAAGTAGTTCAAACGCTGTCGTTTAACTGGAAGTTCATCCGGAAAACATTGGCCCCCAAGAGAGCTAAGTAAAAAGTCAACCTATAATTTTGACCATCTTAAATTTTTCAAAAACACAGCATCATGTATTATTATATACAAGGCTTTCATCGGAGTACCTGAATGTTTTGATGGTCAAATTTGGGATTGTACATGAGAAATTGAAAAACGTGAAAAAAATGTGGAGATGCGGGGGATCGAACCCCGTGCCTCTCGCATGCAAAGCGAGCGCTCTACCATTTGAGCTACATCCCCTGTTGAAATTATTAACTTCCACAAGACTAATATCATTACAATCTTATATTCGCTTAAGCTCACGAACGCATATCCAGATTAGACCAACAATGTACAGACACAAAATGCAATCACATTATGAACTGAATTAATAGGAAAAAGATAATGAAACTATTAACAGAATAACTTTGTTCATTGTTATTTTCTTTTTCTGCTTTTCTGCTAAGAACTTAGAAATATAGCAACAGCCATTAGTGAAAAAACAAAAAAAAAACCTTCAAAAGCATTACCAAAAGTGACTCATATGCTCTCATGTAACACAACAACAACAAAAACATAAGAATACACAATGTCATATGTACTTAGCTATCAAAAGAGCCTCTTCATTTCGTGTTTCTCCAACACTGAACTAAACAAAACACCAAATCAATCTTCAAGATTCCCTTGGATTTCATAGAACAAACGGTTAGAGTTCTCGCTGATTCTCTCAGCTCCACGCATGATCTTCTTGCAATCTTCATGCCGAGGCTTGGGCATAAACTCTCTCAGCTTCAAATGAGGGTCCTTTATACCGACGTTACTGTATATCTCCCTCGCAGGCAAAACATGCTTGTGCCAAAAATCAACAAGCGCCGGTTTCATATCCTCCCAAAACTCAGCATCTCGCCAAACTCTGAACAAGCTGCTTCCATTGCGAGTCCAGCAATACAGATCCAAACAATCTGTATCCACAATCTCCATCAAACCCTGAAGCTGTGGCACAAAATGCCAAGGAACCTTCTTCCACGGATTCGACACCGGCTTGTTCTCCCCGTTGTGAAACGGGCATTTCACTTCCAACACCGCCGTTGAAGTTACTCCGTCTTTGACCACATTGATCAACCCATCAGGAGAAGCTCCTAACCAGTTTTCTTCAGGGTCTTGGCCGTTCTTGTACACTACGAACCCAGGTATGAGGATCTCGTTCCCGGTTAAGTCGTTGTATCTCTCGAGTGCTTCAACCTCATGCTCATTGTCCCAAAACATGGCTGGATTCCCATAGAACTGCTTAGCTGCCCCGATTTTCTCTAACCAAAGCTCGCGCCTACCCTCTGGCCAGAACCCGATAGCGCGCGCGAATTTGCTCGCTGTTAACCTGTTCTTCCTCAAATCTTGCCAGTTCTTGCGCCAATGTTGCTGAGGTGACTCAGTTTCTTTCTTTGAAACTATGCTAACGATTTCAGAGATTACCTTAGAGTCAGCCTCTGGTTCGTTATACGGAATGTGTAACAAGCGATGACAGTACGCTAGATCATTTCTGCTTTAGAAAAATCGAAAATAGGTGTTAGTGAAAAAGAAGAATCAAAAAGTAAGCTTTTGCCACAAATCGATTTGGGTACAGATAATTACAACCACGCGGATCAAATCGAATCCGATCATAATGCGATTAACTCCTACAAAATTATGAGCTAGAAAAACGTAATCAGACAGAAGCAAAACTGACCGAGCGCGCTTGTAAAAGGTACGGCGGAGCATATCGACGACGGCACACCGGCGGTGAATAGATGAGATCGATTCTGAATTTTGAGGGTTTATGGTAGTGGTGAACTCTGTAATAAACGGGCCTCACAGGCCGTACTGGCTCAAACCAGTTTATGCTCACAATAAATCGGTCGTATACCAACCCAAACCTTTTTACTTCGGTTATTTGGTTCGGTCTCAGATAATCCCGTTCAATTTTCGGTTTATATTCGGTAACTCTCACAGAACAGAGTCTGGTTTGGAATCGGTTCGGTTCGATTTATATGTCCCCTTCGATGGTAAAACCCTCTGATCGGTGAGAAAATCTTTGAAGCTACTCGTCGTCGGTTTCTCCTTGTCGGAAAATATCTTCTCAATCAGTTGTTTCTCCGGCTGTGCACAGGATTGGCGGGAGAATATTTCATTTCATGCGGGTGTTTCCGATTCCATTACTCTCACATGTGAGAGGATTGATTCGAAGAGCACCCTCTTCGCGTTTCTTCGTGGTCCCTGCACTTGCCTGGACGGACCCTACAGTGTCACACTCGGAGCAAGTGAAAGAAGGTAACTTTGATGTTAAAGCATTGGAGCTAAACGAAATTGGGGTTCTTCGGGTGTTAACTAGCATGAGGGATGATCCGTATCTTGCTCTCTCCTTCCTGAAACGAATTCAAGGAAATGGGGCTTTGCCTAGTGTCCAAGCTTATGCAGCTGTAATCAGAATCCTCTGTAGTTGGAGTCTTGATGAGAAATTGGATCCGTTGTTTGTGGAACTCATTAGAAAAGGAGACGAAGGACGCGGTTTCAGTGTCGCGGATTTGTTGAATGCCATTGGAGAAGCCGAAAGGGATGAGAGGATGTGGAATCTGTTACTGAGTAGGGTCTCTAGTGCATTGGTTAAAGCCTATGCTAACCTTGGAATGTTTGACGAAGCTATCAATCTCTTCTGGGAGATAGAGAGGTTTGGGTTGGTCGCGGATGCACATACTCATGTTGTTGTGGTTCTTGCATTGCATAGAAACAGAGATAGAGAAGGAGTAGAGAAGTTTCTTATCAAGTTATTAAGCTCAGAGACGAGGAACCCTCGCGTGTTTTACATGGATTTCATTGAAGGGCTCTGTTTTAATCGGATGGCGAGTATAGCTTATCTTCTACTCCAGCCACTGAGGGTTGCAAATATTCTTGTGGACAAGAGAGATCTTGCGATGGCGTATCGCAAAGTGGTCAGGGGTTTATGCAATGAGATGAAACTAGAAGAGGCTGAAAACGCTCTTCTCGACATGGAGGAATGTGGGATCGATCCGGATGTGTATGTTTACTCGGCGATAATTGAAGGGCATCGCAAGAACATGGATTTCACCAAAGCTCTGCATTTTTTTGATGAAGTGGCGCAGAGAGGGAAACGGATAAACTGTGTGATTGCAAGCTCGATCCTTCGGTGCTTTTGTCAGATGGGCAAGTTCTCGGAGGCTTATCATCTGTTTAAAGAGTTTAGAGACAAGAGCATTTCACTCGATAGGGTTTGCTACAATGTCGCGTTTGATGCTTTGGGAAAGCTTGGCAAAGTAGAAGAAGCTATTGAGCTGTTCCGAGAGATGGAGAGTGAAGGAATAGCTCCTGACGTCGTCAACTACACGACTTTGATAGGTGGTTGCTGTCTACAAGGTAAATGTGAGGAAGCTCTTGATCTGATGACTGAAATGGAAGGAAGAGGTCAAACACCTGATATCGTTACGTACAACGTACTCGCCGGTGGATTAGCTCGGAATGCAGAAAACGCATCCGAAATCCTAAAAGCAATGGAAGCTCGAGGTGTAAAGCCCACTTCCGTTACACACAGCATGGTCATTAAAGGCTTGATTGCTGCAGGTAGAAAAGAGGAGGCTGAAGCCTTCTATGAGAGTTTGGAACATCGTAAATCTCGGGAAAACGATGCGAGTTTCATTAAAGGTTACTGTGAAGCTGGTCGTCTTGATCAGGCCTTTGAAAGATTCACTAGACTGGACTTTCCTCTTCCAAAGAATGTGTATTTCACACTGTTCACTAGTCTTTGCGCCGAGGATGATCACATCGGGAAAGCTCAATACTTGGTGGAAAGAATGTGGAAACTTGGAGTTGAACCTGGGAAGAGCATGTATGGAAAGTTGATTGGTGCTTGGTGTCGAGTCAATAAAGTGAGAAATGCCCAGCAGTTTCTTAGATGTTTAGATGGTAGAGAGATAGTCCCTGATTTGTTCACTTACACAACCATGATTAACACCTATTGCCGGAAAAACAAGCTGAAGGAAGCCTACACTCTTTTCAAAGACATGAAGAGGAGAGGAATCAAACCTGATGTGGTAACGTACACAGTTTTGCTCAATCACATTCCGGAAGTGGATATGAGTAGGGACATGGAGGCCTGTGATGTTAAGCCAGACGTTATCTACTACACAACAATGATTAACACCTATTGCCGGCTAAACAACCAGAAGAAAGCCTATGCTCTTTTCCAAGACATGAAGATGAGAGGAATCATACCTGATGTGGTAACGTACACAGTTTTGCTCAAGGACAATCCAGAGTTGGATATGAAAAGGGATATGAAGGCATGTGATGTTAAACCAGACGTTTTCTACTACACGGTTTTGATTGATGGGCAGTGCAAGATGAATGACCTTATAGCGGCGGAGAGGATCTTTATTCAAATGATTGAAAGTGGGGTGGAGACTGATGCTGCGCCTTACACATCACTAATTGCTTGTTGTTGTAGGAATGGATATGTTAAAGAGGCGAAAAGGATCTTTGGTCGAATGATTGAAAGCGGGACAAAGCCTGATAAATTTATGCAAGAACGTGCATTAAGCCGACTGATGATGCATCCCTGTCTGAAGTACAGCATGCTAAATTAAAGGCCAAGAGACTCCAATCTCGACGATGATCCAAGAATGTATATTCAAAAGCTCAGGTGAGGTTGTGGTTACACAACAACAGGTCTTGAGAACAGAGTTTTGGGATCTGCATCAGCGTAAATGAGGATGTGAGCTCACTGTTCATGTAAGTTCACTTCTCCTTCTTCCGCTTTTCTTCAACCGTTGTTGCGATAAACTTGCCTAAGTCACAGCACTAACTCTGCAGGTGGCCAGGTAAAGCACGACAATAACCTCGCGCCAATAAGGATTTTCTAAGCCCTTTGTGAACTCTGCATTTTCTTACTTATTGCGTCTTCATGACACACGAAGCCACAATTTTGATTTTAACCGTGGTAAGTAAATATGTAAATTGCAGTCTACTATAAACCAAGCATGGCTTGTAAGCGTTCGTAAATAAATAGCTGAGTGTGTCTACGCAGTTCAGAAGACATGATAGTAAATTGTAAATTATATAAGATGTCCGATTTCGCAACATTCTTTTGTAAATTGGAAATTACTATTTTATCTTTTGTATAGTTTGATTTATTATGAGATATAATAATGAATTGTAAATTGTATAAGATCTCCGATGTCGCATGTACACAAGTTTCGATCAAATACCCTAAGTATTCCTGTGAGATTCATGTAGCCGCATAGGTAAGTAGAAGAAGCTATGTCTGTTTGGGAATACAGTCATAGAACCAAAGTACATAAAAATGGTATCTGTCTCCTTAATAACTCTACTCTTAGTGGTAGTAATCATAGAATCTGTCACCTAATCACATAATAAATAGGGATTTTAATAAGACGTGAAAGTTTTAGAACTGAGAATTCTTTATTTATTTATCTACGCTTCGGCTTCGCCTTCGGCTTGGGTTTCATCTGTTTCCACAAGTTGAGCAGAATAACCGCTCCTTCCTTGAGAGTAGCTTTTCTTCCTTTCTCGTAATTCCAAAGCTCAGGCACTATGTACCTTCCACTTCCATTGTACTCGTTCCTTTCTAGAAGCGCCTGAGTCACAGCTTTAAACACTTCTTCACCCATCTCTTTCCTCAGTTCTTGCAGCTTCTCATCTTCCTCATTCAGTACCTCCTTGGGGTCTCCGTCTTTCACAATGACCTTGAGCGGATGCCAAGCCGAGTCTCTCAGGTGGTTGTCCCACAAGGAATGGAGCTCTTCGGTTTTTGCAACAACTTCTTCTGCTGGATATCTCTCCTTCACTAGTTTTTGGAATGGTTTCTCGCTCAATGCTCCCATTGCCTTCACACCGATCGTCTGTGTGCGTAGTTTCAAGTCTAGCAATGACTGCACATAGCTTAAACAAGGTTAGTAGCATAGGACGAGAGGCAGAGAGACAGGGAAGAGGCCGAGAGTTTCTTACTTTGATCAAAGCCTTGCGGGCATCCTGAAGCTCATCGTTAGTGTAATTATTTTTCACAACAAGGGCTTGATAGACAGACTCTTGGTACTCTGCCTCCTCTTCTTTCTCCTTCAGTTCCATCTTAGTCTTTTCTATCATTTCCTTGATTTTTGGGTCTTCCCCTTCTTGCATGTGTTCCATCACCTGCAGGTCTCCCCTCATGCGCTCTATCTCCAACTCCAATGCCTGCTCAGCATCGACTTTTTGCTCCAGCTTACGGACTTTCTCGCGTAGTTCATCTCTCTCCCTCTGTGAAACAACAGCCAGATTTATTAAAACTCTGATCAAAAATCAAACCGACAGCAACTTGAACATTAGTTTTCAAGGTTTTTTCGTGTAATAAAAGACTACCTGCTGCTGTTCTGCCAATCTCATCATGTCTTCATCAACTTTATTTTGCTCTTGAGTAGCCATTAAGTTCTGACAAAGAAATTCAAAGATTTCACGAATCATTGCTAAGATCAAAGAAAGTTTAAGCATAAACAAACGATGTGAATGTTACTTTCTGTTTTTGCCATTGAAGCTTTCTTCGCTCAGTCTTGTTCTGTGCTTGACACTTATCTAGATATTTCTCCCGCTCTTCGAATTCTATCCTTTGAGCCTCCAGATGGCGAGAGGCCTTTTCATGTTCTTCGTTAATACTGGCCAAATAATCACGCGCCGTTTGCTGCAAGTTACTCATTTCTAAACATTGAAAAGTAAACTAATAAGTTTCTCAATACTAAACCAAGCACCTCAATCAGGCAAAATTCATTTCATCGTGAGAGAGAGAGAGAGAGAACATACTTTCATTATGAGCCTCGATCATTTCATCATTCTCTCTCATTTTTTTCTCAAGCGCCGTACTGGTTTCTTTGTATTTGACCTCCATTTGTTGAAGGCTAGTGTTTTTGGTCTCCAGTGTGTTTTCCAAGTTTGAGACAAGCGACATTGCCTTTCTTTGATTCTCTGCCTCTTTACCAGAAACAGTCACTAAGTCCCCTTTGCTCCGAAGGTGGTCACCAACAACAGTTCTCGAATGGTAGTCCTCCTTTTTGGCTATCCAACCATAAAGTTTATCGCCTCGATCACGTGAACTTGCAGCATCATAGTCTCTCTTCCCACACTGATTGACATCAAAATGATTCTCAAACATGGTCGCGTTTCTGAATCCTTCCCAGTCTTTACCAAAGTGAACAAGAGCAAAACCAGTAAAGCCAACTCGGTAGTTCCACAGTGGCTCGACTTTGTGGGCATTAAACCCTTGGCTGACCAATTCCTCCTTTATCTTGTTCCCACTCTCGCCAGCAAACCTCCTTCGGTTTTCATCATAGGTTCTTCTGATGTTGGCCAAGATCCCTTTCCATGGATGCACAAACATCGGATCCTGAGTATCAGCACCCAAAGAATCACGCCTCTGAGGATATTTGGGAGCAGCCTTAGCACCATAACTGAGACCAATCTGTTGTACAGGTTCTCCTCCCTCTTTAGCACCAGCAACGAGGCAAGGTCTTTTGGCAGTGTATGCTTTGTCTTCGCTGCTTAAAAAGGAGTTGGCTTCAGGAGAAAACTTTGGTCTTTCTTGGCCACTTCCTACAGCATCATGTACTGATACAGACACTAGTTCAGCTTCAGCAATAGTGGATTTCTCAAAGCCTTTCAGTTCTCCTGTTGCAAAGCCAGCTGTCCAGTTTCCGGTGAACTCCTCTTTAGGGAGATCAGGTGTTTCACAAGGGCGGAGGTACTTCTTCATGTAGCTCTTGAGTGCGAAATGTCGAGCTATTTCTCGGCCATCCTTAGTGCGGGAACTCTGGCAAATGTCAGAGGCATGACGAAGCAAGTCCTCAAACTTGTGGTAATCCCGCTGGCGATCTCTGTAGCAGAAGGGACACCTGAACAGAGACTCTGAGATTTTGACCTTCCTTGTGCCATCTTTCATTTCACTGTAGTATCTATACTCCATATCATCAAGCTCTCTTCTGGAATACATTGCAACCTGCAAACAGAAAACGTTTACACAGTGAACTACAGGAAGCAAAGGAAATGGTATACATACATAGAGAATTCTATTTGTGGTGTATAAAACCCTAATCACTGAACCCTAAACCTGAATCAAATTGGCTCGCCCAATTCCAGAAACTAGTAAGAACCAAAGGAAACCTAAGCGAAGGAGGATGAGTAAGAAAACGACCCAGAGAAATTATCCATCAAAACTACAAAGTCACGAAATTAGGTGAGACGGAGATGAGAACACAAAATCCAGTGAAACCCCTTCGTTAACCAAAAGAGAAGATCAGAAGAAAAATGGAGATACACAACACCAAATTCGGGGAAAAGAGACCCCAAAATGGCGACACAAAAAGCAACTAAACGAAGTGGCACCCATTGGAGAATTTCGCAAATGTCAATAAATAGAGATTCAGCGAACAGGGAAGAGACACAAGCGGGAAGCTGAGGAGAAGAAAGTTGCGAAACCTTTGAAGAGCGAAGAAAATGGCGGCGAGTCTCGATGGAGGAGGTGGGAGAGAATCACGTAACCTTGACTGGAAAGTGAAAGAATCAAATGCAGAAACAAACAAACGTCGTCGTCGATTGTGGTCCGTCGTCCTCTCAAAAATCTACGCATTTTACCCGTTGTGCTGCATAGGAAATCGTCTTTTCTAGACCAAACCGAACCAAAATAACCAATTCACATATCTATTTTAGGGAAATTTTCCACAAGTATTTTTTATCCCGATATTTGTTTTGTTTTGTTTTTATACTAGCTTGATCGGTCTCATCAATCAATCGATTTAGAAACATAATTAAAAATACAAAAATCAAAATTTGCAAGTTAAGTTGAAGCAAAATTCATGTGACTTTAATCAGTACCATTTTTCACAGTAAACTAATCGAATTGAAATACAACGGAGGTAAACCGAATACTCATCATTTTAACCATTGGTCTAATAAACTGAGATTAATAAAAAAAAAAAATCACAAGACAATTCGCAGTTACAAACCGACTCTGAAGAACTTGTATCATCAAACGGAATCCAACCAGAACTAAGAAGAAGAGCAAAAACGTATCTTCATGGCAAAGCAGACTCCTTGCGTTCACTGCTCTCGTGACCTCATTTCATGACTGGCATCAACAATAATTATCTCAAACAAGGATAATGCGACATCCAGGAGAACGTTTTGGGAATCTGCTAAGCTCCTCGTATATCTCTGGAATCGAACCAGGTCGAGGATAATCTGTGATACTCAGAATCAGTTTCTTCAGCACTGAAGCGTTTTCAAGAAAGTAGCTCGCTATTTTCATCTCATCCTCCTCCCATTCAACATCTTCCTTCCGTTCAACCATACGTTTTAACTCAACACACTCAAGAGTCGATAAGAAACACCGAGGCACATTTATGAGTTCCGATACCTCCATCTTCTCTGAGTAAACAACTTTCTGCAAACACACACCAAACAAATCACAAAGGCTGAGTTTTTTTTTTCCAATAGCACACATCCACACTAATAAGCTCTAAAACCACAACAAGGTTTTACCAAGATTAGGTGTTTCAGATTCGGGCAACACTCAAGAAAGGCTGGCAAAAAACGCAACAAGCTGCTCGGGAACTCGGCTTGTAAACGGTATAAGTTGTTGAATTTGGGAATCATTCCTACTTTTGAGTAACGATCAAGCGCCTGCAACACCGAAGAAAGGGAAACAAAAGGATACAAGTGAGAGGTTTCCAAATAGACAGAGTCCATGAATTGTAGTACAAATATATATATATATATATATATATATATTTATACCTTCACTATTTTATGAGAGATGATCATATGTCTTACACTCGACATCCCAGTGAGAAAATCACGGATTTCATCTCTCTTTGGTACGTCCTCCGGATTAAAAAACCTTCCAAGAAATCTGATATCGAGGTCAACCATGAACAGAGAACTCAGGTTCTTTACCACGATGCTATCAAAATGATCTTCTCCAAGACTCATTTGCTCTAGCCCTGGAGCATCAATCTCAAGTGTGGATTTCACCCACGAACTGCAATACTCTCCGGGTTTCGGAACACGAAACGTCTTCAGGCTCCGAGATTTCACACGAATAAACTCAACATCCGAATCCGCAAAATTACAATTCATATCCCTCACAAAGGTCAGTTCTTCAAGAACCGGACATCCTGACATGAGTTTCTCCAGATGCTTAGTATCACGCCAGTGAACTTCCACAAGAGTCATGAACCTGAGACAAGGCATGAAAACGAAACCCGGTTCCTCGAGACCCGAAAACGAGAGCTTTAAGGAGACCAGTGTCTTGCTCGTGTAGAGATTCAGAGGCATGAGCTCGATCATGGGATAGATAAGGCCGTCAGGATCTAGATAAAAGGTACTGCTCTCGACGTCGAGATGCTGAGTTCCGCGGTCAATCGCTGTACCGATCCGATCCATGATCCCGTTCATCATCTCGCTCATGCACTTTACCTTGACTTTTTGCAGGCGTAACTCAGGGTTGAACTCGAGAAACCTGTCGATGAAGCTGTAGCACACTTGGTGTTCTTGATATGGGAAATCGGAGCAGTCTAAGTCGAGTCCGGGAACATTTAGCCACAGATTCTTCCATCTGGTCGCTAAAACGCTCGTCTTCACCGAATCTTTAGTTGGGAGGTATGAGAGTATTTGAGTAAGCAACGATTCCGGCAATTCGCTGATTCTATCGAACCCAGGCATCACGAGGACGAAACTCTAAGAGAGAACAACAGCATTAACAAGTAAGGGTTCCTGATCGAATCCTAGGCGATGAGTTTCTCTAAATTAATCCCAAAATTCAGACTACGAGGCGATTTTAAAAATTCAGTTAAAATGTAAACGAAAGACTCGAGGGAGGAATCTGGGTTCTGATGAACTCACCGTGGATTTGATTCGCCGGCGCCGGATTAGAGAGACCGATAATGATCTGAGGAAAGTGGTGACTTTTTTTGTGTGAAACGGAATCCATATTTATTTATACGTTTGAAGCGGTTCCGATTCCCAGTTTCAGAGAGCGTTTTTCAAAATGGAAGTTTGCCATTGTATTATAAAATTTATAATGCAAATCAATTACTTAGTTTTTTGAAATAATCGAGTAAGCGTTTTTTCGACGAGAGTGCATATCTTCCATAATCAAATATATACTGTAGGTTTTTTTCTTTGGGAGATATATCTAAGAAAAAATCAAACGAAAGAGGAAAACAAATAATTAAGATTATGTTAGCAAAACGCATTTAATATTCATATTTTTATACGTAAAGATTGAATTCCTAAAAATGGTTAATAATTTATCACTTCACCACAATATGGAAACCAAGAACTAACACATGTTTGTGTGTTTGCGGTACTTAACCAAAAATAAGAACAATAAACAAAATTCGATCTTAAAAGCGACAAAGGTCACTCGATCTTGGCAGCCGAAGGGTGAGATGTCCAATTAGCTCTCCATGTAATGGAAGGAGCAAGAAGACGTTCTGTTTTCCAACCTCCTGATCTCAGCTACATAAGAAGAAGAAGAAGAAGAAGAGAGTGAAGATCACAAGTTAATACAGTCTGTTTCATGTTGTAATGATCTAATTTGTTTACCTTGTTGAGAAACTCGTCATAATGTTTATCCATCCAAGCTTCTCCTTCTGGATAAAAAGCTGCGGTTTCTTCCATAAGTCTTGCCAACACAATCGCGTGAATGTATGATTTCAACACATCTGAAGCCTCCGAGTCTTTGTGCAAAATCACACTAACGTTTCCCTTTCTATGTGCCAACAAGTACTTAGCTGCACGAGTTTGCGACACACAAGAACCCGAGTTTACGCGTCAACACGTTTCAAAATATGAAACAGAAGGAAAAAAAACGTCCATGGAAAAGAAATCAATCAAACCATTCTTATGAGAAGAAGCTCCAACACCATTTAGGAGTTGCATCCTGCACATACATTGTCAGCCTCACACAGATTATTATTTCCTTAAAAGCTGCGATAATCTTAGTTTCTTTTATAAACTAGTGATTTATGGTGATTAAAGTATATAACTTACATATCTGGACGAGGGAGAGAAGAAACTCTAACACCTAAGTGCACTCTCTTATGCAATGTGTTTGAATTAGTTGACCTCAATGAAGTGGCCCACAAGGGCAATACACCCTCCATTGAAGAAACCTGTTCGGGAGAGATAACTGGCGACATGTTTAGTCAAAGAAAGTTACTGATCAATATGATGCAATGATAAACACAAAGGGAAGCCAACGAAAGGTTCTGAGAATCAGATGACGCATTTCTGAAATTACCTTGGCCGGTTTGCAGGAATTCCGTTAGAAGAATCGAACTCCTCTCGAAGTTTAATGAATTCAATACAAGACACCGGACAGCTCTATAGTTTGCTAAATATATAAACAAAGGAACAATTAGAGAAATCCTGATTTGAGCTAGGCTTTTCACCCTTCATCTGTAACTTACCGTACATATGAAACACGGTGAGAGAGAGAAACGAAAACCAAATAGCCAAAGGGTTTCCAGAGGTAAACCGAGCTAGCAACATTCCCAGTGACATGCCCATCATCGTTGCCATGGTCTCTTGGCTTCCTTCCTTTCAATAGAGAAAATAGACGGAAAAAAAACAAACTTCTAAAAATTCCTCATTTATAGTTTCTACATCATTGACAGTGAAAAGAAGCCAGAGTGCCTTAGCAGAGATATCCGCTGCATTGTCCTGGAGAGCAAAGTGCTGAGTTAGTGCTGCTCTGGTTGCTCCACTTGCAACACCAGCTAATTCAGGAGATTGAAAATATGTTAAAAAAACCGATGATGTATCAATCAAAGAGGAAGTCCTAACTTCAATGTTTGATAACTCACTAAATGATCTTGAGAGACTTCCTAAGCAGACCACAATGATAAAGGCAGATGGAAACAGAGGAGAAAGAAGGTCCATTAGCATTCCTGCAATAAAAGCAACAAAGCTTGTAGTCATTCGATGTCTCTGAGAACCAAATACGGAAAAATATTTTCAAGTGTGGATGAATGAGAATAACAAAAGAACATACCGATATCATTCATAAGGTCAGCAACTAGACGCCACATTTTTGCATTACTATCCAGGTTGGAACCCTGAAGAAACATAAAATCAGACTGTTACCATAATGTGTTAGAGCCTTAGAAGCTGAACTTCTCAGAAAACAAAGAAAATCAATCGCTGGTAATAAATCATCAAAGAACTCTCACACAACAAACAGGCAAAATTTTGAAGAAGAATAAAACAGAAGAGAAGTTTAAGGTATATGATTTTGGCAGAATCTACTATATGGACACCTGATAAAATGTGAACAATATGCCTCCAAGCATCCCAGTGAAATCCCTCAGAAACCACTGCATATAACAAACAGGATATAATAACTATAATCCACAGCGATTTATGCTGCTTGAGAGAGCCAATGAGTTCCAAAGTAGGAAGCTCACCTGAAATGTAGCACCTATAACTGTTGCAGACTTCTCACCAACCCCAATTGCACTCAAAAGAGCCTTAAAAGTAGTCCAAAATCAAACGATTTGCTGCAGTAGACAAAAAAATTAAGAACTCAAAAGCTCAGAACTTGATCTCACCTGAGTTGAAAGCATCATCTTTATATAAGTAGAGAGCCCCTACAAGAAAAAACATAGCCGAGTCACAAATTTAAATACAAATAAAACTTTACAGTAGCCATAAGGCACACACACACACATGTTCTCACATACCTGTAACGTGTCCCATAACTGAAACCCTACATAATCCGGAGTTACACTACCAGGAAAGCCCTGCATTGACCAAAGCAAAATCCAGTTGTCTCAGTGTCCTAAAACGAAATCCTGAGACGAGGTTTGAGAAGGGGGAAATAAAGAAAAGAAATCACTAGCCTCAGGTACGAATGCTTGAAGAACTCTTCTCCATACTTGGTTGAAGCGATTAGCAGACCTATGAATCACTCGCAGCAAAAAAATAAAAATCTCAAATTTGTAGAGAATTTCACTGAAGCAATCAGATTCGGATTTGGGATGAAAAGAGGAAGAAAGGGTGAACCTTTGGATGGAGAGAGAAGGGGAGGCAGTGATAGTTGCTGTTCTGAAAAGCTTAGTAGAAGAAGAGCCATTCCATTCTTCGAGTGTAATTGATGCGCAATCAGAGAGTTCTTCTTCTCCCATGGCGAATTTTTGGTGCTTCTTACTGAAAATGTTGCAAGAGAGAAAGTAAATTTTGACTTTCAAATGTTTTGACTTTTCTTTTTAGCTTTGGTGATTTGGGTTGGGTTTCCAATTTTCAATTGCGACTGAATATGAGAAATAATAAACCCATTCACTAACCATCTCTCTCCCTGTATTGGGCTAAAAACCTCTGGGCCTTTGGGCCGTTTTCATTTTTAATTAAGTTTAAGTTGATCAAATAAAAATTCACTAACCATATCCATTAGTATTGACTATATAGTTCGTCCAATCACAACATTCGAGCAAGGACAAGTGTGTATATCGAGCAAGTGGCTTAAGTATTTTTTTTTTATCAAAAAAAAAAAAAAAAAAGTGGCTTATGTATATGCTTGATCATGTGCACATCTGTACCTTACCAAAAAAAAAAAATGTGCACATCTGTATATCATTTACAAGTATAAAAGAAGAAACTACGTAGGCGCATATATTGATTGTGTACATGAGCCATAAATTATTTAGACGTGTAAGATTTAACTTAAGGTAAAAAAACCAACCTTGGTGCATGCATGCATTGCATGTAGTAAATAACTGTCTGTAACGTAAGGATAATGCTCTTTCATTCTCCACCACCTACCTCATTGGTAAAAATGCAGTATAAAATGAGATGAAGATTAGCATATTTTCACCATTGAATTAAAAGCCAAAAACACATTTACTTGAAATATGAAGAACGTCTCTTTTAAGCTAATTCTATGCTTTTCTCTTCTTGTCGTTGCCTTCGGTAAGTATATCTACTTATCTTTCATTCCGAAATTTAATAAATAACCAATCATATCTGAATATATGAAATCTATGTTTTAAACGCATGTTGAGGTTTATATGCGAACTACAGTTTTCGTACAGTTTCTTATTCATGCATGTTATTATTAAGAGAGGTTTAATATTTTGTTCCACTTTCGTTCTCAAAACCAGATTTGAGCAAAAAATATGAAAACTACTATAAATCATTTTATTACAAATCATTCTGATCCATGTTGGGACTAACACATTATTCATATGAAGGACAAGAACTTGCAAATTCCAATAAGCGATGCACAACAAACTTTATGTGTGACGACGTAAATGATTGTGAGAAAGGTCTAGGATATTGCAACAACGGAGTTTGCGGGTGTCTTAAGTTACGAGTGATGGATACAAATAAAGCCAATCCGAATCATCAAGGACAATGTGACACAAACCTTGAGTGCTACACCATGGGTTGTATCAGAGGTCCAGGATATTGCGATAATGGAGTTTGCAAGTGTCCTAAATCACAGGTTTAAATCAGGTGAAAGCTTCAAGCGCTATATTAGAGACAAAAGTTTGTACGCTTACTAGTTTACGGATAGAACACCTAACTGTAGTTCCAAGAAAACCGATCCTATTTGTAAACCATCAAAATCTTATGAGACTAGGAAACAAATATATGTTGTGATCTCAGACATGAATAAACTTGTCTTTCCCTAAATTTGAGCAATTTGAAAACCAAAAGTCGAAGCATTGCGAATCAAAATTTAAATCTTGATGAGGTGAATTCTACTCCAGTGTCATTGGCCGTTGACGAACAAAGGATTTTATTTTTCCCCCTTAAATCAGTGAAATGATCCACGCTTTGCCTGGATTAAGATCCAAAATCTCATAGTAATCTTTTTTTTTTTTAAATCTCATAGTAATTAAAACTGTAAACAAATGAAAATCTACTGCCTAAACTAGAAAGTAATTAACAGATCTCATGTACTTGAAAGAAAAAAAAAAAGCAATACTCTTTTTTTTGTTAAAGGATACAAAAAAAGTAAAATAAAAATAAAAAATATCCAACCTTGGTGCATGCATGTAGTAAATATCCAAACTGTAAAGTAAGGATATGCTCTCTCATTCTCCTAATTTCCAGCACATACCCCTTGGTAAAAAAAATAAAAATTCTAATACTATATATATCAAAAAATACGTAGGCATATATTGAGTACATGAACCATTAACTAAGGTAAAATATCCAACCTTGGTGCATGCATGTAGTAAATAAACAACTGTAAACTAAGGATAATGCTCTTTCATTCTCCTAATTTCCAGCAGATACCCCATTGGTAAAATGCAGTATTAAAAGAGATGAAGATTAGCTTATTTTCACCATTGAAAGCCAAAAACACATTCACTTGAAATATGAAGAACGTCTCTTTTAAGCTAATTTTATGTGTTTCTCTTCTTGTCGTTGCCTTCGGTAAGTATATACTGATCTTTCATTTCGTAGTTTAATTAATGATCAATAATATCTGAATGGATGATTTAAGTTTGCGGAAAATTAAGAGTTATGCTATCAAAATCCTATGTTTTAAACGCATGTTGAGGTTTTAGGTTTATGTGGGAACTACAGTTTTCCGTACGGAAGAAAATGAAACAGTACTTTGATTTTTTGTTCCACTTTCGTTCTCAAACAAGATCTGAGCAAAAATATGAAAACTAATCTTATAAATCATTTTGTTTTGATGAGAATCCATTGGGACTAACACATTATTAATTCATATGAAGGACAAGAACTTAAGCTTGCAAAATCCATGAAGCGATGCACAACAAACTCTATGTGTGACAACGTAAATGATTGTGAGAAAGGTCTAGGATATTGCGACAACGACGGACAATGCGGGTGTCTTGAGTTACAATGTGACACAAACCATGAGTGCTACAACATGGGTTGTATCAGAGGTCAAGGATATTGCGACAACGGAGTTTGCAAATGTCGTAATTACAAGTAGGGGATACTAGCAAAAGGACACAAACCTTGAGTGGGGACGCTTGCTATGTTTTTTTTTTTTTTTTTTGAACAATTTTAACGCTTGCTATGTTCTGATTATCGTCTGGTGTGTTTCATAAATGAAAATTATGCGTGCCGCAAATAAGGGTAATTTGTGTCAAACCATGCCCATATAAAAATATGTTACTAGTGTGTATACACCAACTGCAATTTGTAGTTAATCCCTTTTCAACCCAAAAATAAATAAATGGCAATTTGTAGTTTGATACGTAAATAGTATAAACTATATATATATCGATACTCCTAACTGTTAAGTAGATACATGCATATATAAAATTACAGTAAATCGTTGCTATTATTTAGATGTTGTACTTAAACAAGCCGAGGGCAAAGCCACAAATGGACAACGGGCGGGGACGTTACAATTTTCTTCAACAATTTATTAAAGAAACTATTGTTTCACTCATCACCCAAATCTACAAGCATTGATTAAAGGTATTTAGTTTGTCCACTAATAGTGAAAAAGTTCGAGATTACGTTGCTAAAAGGGCACTATAAATTGTAACGACGCACTATTGTACTCGTATAGTTGATTAGGAGCAAATAGTTATTTCCGAGGATGAAGCAAGTTTCTTTCAAGCTTGTGTTACTAGTTTCCCTTCTTCTCACTGTCTTCCGTAAGTATTTTTAGTTTGTAGCAACTTCCACTGTCTTCTAAGTATACACAACTGCAATTAGTAGTTTATTACGTACGTAAACTATATCGAAATATGTCTTAACTGTTAAAGTGATCCACACTTTTCTGTTGATAGTTGCCCAGCAGGAACAATTGATGCATAAAATCTTGAAAGTTATACAATAGGTTGCCCGGCAGTAATGGTTTTAATTAAACACTAAACAAGACTTTTTAAATAATTTAATTGTTTTCAATCAAACATTAAACATATAATTTTTTAAGTATAAAATAAAAATTATTTATGCTTTATCTGCTTGTAGCCAGTATAAATCTTTTTTAAAATGAATAATTTATCCATAACATTTCCAGTTTTATCAGTACTAATCCTATCATTTAATTACTTAATCAAATCTAGTACTATTAGTTACATCTATATCTTTTTTTTAAGAGGGAGCACAATATAGTAAAATATCCACAAAATTTCAAGTTTTATCAGTATTAATATATCAAGTAATTAATTAGTCAAATGATTTAAATCTAGTACCAATTACTCTATTTATCTTTTCCAAAAATCTACAAAATTTTCTAGTCAAACCATCACCTAATTTCTAGCTTACCAATATTAATACAATCATTTAATTTATCAGTCAAATTCAACTTTAACTACACGTCTTTTCCAAAAATCTACAGAGTTTTCTGGTCAAACCACCCCATTGGTAGAATGCAGTATAAAAAGAGATGAAGATTTAGCTTATTTTCACCATTGAAAGCCCAAAACACATTTACTTGAAATATGAAGAACGTCTCTTTTAAGCTAATTTTATGCGTTTCTCTTCTTGTCGTTGCCTTCGGCAAATCACAAGCAGCAGATGCAAATAGAGCCGATCCTAATCATCTAGGACAATGTGACACAAACCTTGAGTGCTACACCATGGGTTGTATCAGAGGTCCAGGATATTGCGACAATGGAGTTTGCAGATGTCCCAAAGTACAAGCAGTGGATACAAAAAGAGCCGACCTGAATCATCTAGGACAATGTGACACAAACCTTGAGTGCTACACTATGGGTTGTATCAGAGGTCCAGGATATTGCGATAATGGAGTATGCAGATGTCCTAAATAAATCTACTTTATGAAAAAACTCAAATAAATTATGTAATTTTACTAATGTCCCTTTATGAGTTCATCCTCATAATATTAAATAAATCTGCCATCTACAAACATTATCTAACGTTATAATCTTCCAATTGAATCGTTGATCAAATTTTACTAATTTTTAGTGGTGTATCTAAGTTGAAATTCGTGTCGTACCTGTATATAGATGCATGCGTATTCTATCTTTGATATTTGAGTAATATTTCTCAACATGTATTTCTTTACATTTGGCTATCTATCTCCTTTCTCGTTGATCATGTTCTTGATTTCGGAAATCTTAAAACGGATAAAGATAAAAGTCGATTTTTTTAAGGAAAATACAAACTCGCGTCGTCTAGCTATATGCATCGCGTCTATCATAAAACAAATTTTGTCTATTTAAAAATAATATACTATAGTTACAAAAAAAAAATTACTTTGACTGAAAGGATATTATAAAGATTTGAATATATATAAAAAATAAAATAAAAACCATGATCAAAAAAAATCACGAATGTAAAAATCCCACGCATGTCAGAAATGGACTGAAAAGGTGTGAAAACAGTTGCGGCATTGGGTAAGACTAGCCCTGGACAAAAAAACCGAACCCGAAAACTCGAACCCAAACCGATCCAAAATAATCGGTTTGGATCGGGTTCGGTTATAGATTATTTATTCGATAGGTATTAAATTTAGGAACCGTGGATATCGGATCAGTTCCGGTTCCTACCTGATACCCGATCGATTAACCGAAATAAAATTCTCTTATGTACTTACAGTATTGTAAAGTGATTTTCTGATGAACTAGATGGATCCAGAGGTCGATCTACATACCGTCACGTAGGTTTCATAGTCAGCTATCCAGATCTTCTTTCCATTACTGATTCCGAGTTATATTCAATCCGGAAATCAGTTTTTAAGTTGGCAAAAAAATCAGTATTTCAAAAAAAGTTCACTTGTTTTTTGGGTATTTGGTTACATTTCGAGTATATAATTATATTTTCAACAATTTCGGGTTTAATCGGGTAAAAAAAACCCGAACCGAATCAAAATTATAAAAAAAACCATTTTTTCGGGTTTTAAACGGTTCTGAAATTTAAGAACTGAACCGAACCCGAATCGAAATCTTTTCGGTACCTATATAGGTATAAAATTCCCTTACCCGAAAAAACTGGAACCGATCGGGTCGGATCCGAAACCGACCCGAATACCCGAATGCCCAGGGTTAAGACAGCGGCGAAAGTCATTTATACCAAATATATAACCGAATCGACCAAAAAAGCTTACATTCGGTTTACGAAAACCGATCCGAATTTTTTTTTTAAAACAATAAACCGATCCGTTTTTTAACCATAAAAATCTTTAAAACAAAATCGCGACTTTCCCTAAATTTGAGCAATTTGAGAACCAAATGTCAAAGCATTGCGAATCAAATTTAAATCATGAGGTGAATTCTACTCCAGTGTCGATGTCAGACTTGATGAACAAAGTCTTGCAGGATTTTTTTTCCTTAAAAGAAGACAAATGATGAGGGAATCTTAAGACGGGATATCCCAAATTCAGCCGAAGTTTTTAAAGACAACTCTATGATCTAATCTCCTTCAAAGTTACAATCTTTCATTTTCTCCGATTGCTTCTCTTCGGTTGAGTAAAAAGCAAAACGAAGTTTCCGGTAATGTTTTCATTCTGTTTCTTCAATTTAATTAATAAATTTCTTGAATTTGATGATTTTGGATTTACCAAGTGTTTCAATTTTCTGGTACATGTGGTTTCATTTGTGTTTCAGGCTGTCCTTTCTCTTTAAGACATGAGAGGCCAACAAGTTCTTGCAGTCTCGGTGACTGTTGTATTAATAGCTCTTGGAGCAATTCATAAAGTGAAATCTCATAAAGACCAACCTTTATCAGGAATTGCTATCCATATGACAACATTTGATCTCAATGAAAAAGCTTATGTCAAAGCCTCTCCAACAGTTCTTGGTTCTAATGTAATTAACAACCATTCTCTTCTCTTATTTCTATATATCAGATCTTCTCATGGTTTTTTTTTATGAAATGCAGCTAAAGTTCTATGCAACCTTATTTTTATAACAGGGTCAACATAGTGAATTGGTGTTGGTCGAATATAGTTCTCCAAAACCATCAGATGATGATTGGATTGGAGTGTTTTCTCCTGCGGATTTCAAGTAGATATTACACTAACACATTGTTTCTCATCAAACTAGTTCTGAGACTGAAAGAAAAAGTCTACTTATTACTTTGTTCTTGTTCCTACAGTGCCTCAACTTGTCCAGGAGAAAACAAAATGGTGAATCCACCTCAACTGTGTTCAGCTCCTATCAAGGTTGTTCTGTTTTCTCTTAACATAAATGTTTCTGTTTTTCTTCTCTGCAGCAAGTCTTTACCTTTTCCTTCTTTAACATCTTTACAGTTTCAATATGCAAACTTTAGTAACACAAGATACAACGATACCGGGACCGGTTCCTTGAAGCTTCAGCTGATCAACCAGAGATCAGACTTCTCCTTCGCGCTGTTTTCTGGCGGTTTGTTGAATGTAATACTCATTCCCCCACAGATTCTTTAGCTTTTCAAGTTGTTTAGCTTCATACTTAAACCATTCCACGGTTTTATTGTTTATCAACTTGTGTTTATAGCCAAAGCTTGTGGCAGTGTCAAACAAAGTAGTCTTTGAGAACCCAAATGCACCAGTTTACCCGCGCCTGGCGCTAGGAAAAGAGTGGGATGAAGTAAGATTCTAAAAACTCATCTGATCATTGGATTTTCTTGTGGAAATGACCCAAAGAAGTGAAAATGAGTTTGTAAATAGATGACAGTGACATGGACTAGTGGTTATGGACTCGACATTGCTGAACCTGTTGTCGAGTGGGGCATTAAAGGAGGAGAGCGTAAACTCTCACCTGCTGGTACGTTGACCTTTGGGCGTAACAGCATGTGTGGTGCTCCTGCAAGAACAGTGGGATGGCGTGATCCAGGATACATACACACAGCTTTCCTCAAAGAGTTATGGCCTAATTCCAAGTATGTGTGTTTCTTGTTTCTAAACCAATGAGTCAGCATTGAAATGTGATGTATACGAATCACTGAGCTTTTGATTTTGACTGTTATACAGGTATACCTACAGAGTTGGGCATAGATTTTCATGTGGTGCATTCATCTGGAGTAAAGAGTATCAGTTCAAATCTTCTCCATTTCCTGGCCAAAACTCTCTCCAACATGTTGTCATCTTTGGAGACATGGGAAAGGTTTGAATCTTTCAGCCTAAATGCATAGATTGTTTTTATTTGTTGTTGGCCTCAAAACCTTTCTTGTGTTCTGTTGTTGAAGGCTGAGGTTGATGGCTCAAACGAGTACAACGATTTCCAACGAGCTTCCCTCAACACCACAAAGCAACTTATCAAAGATCTAGAGAAGACAGATGCAGTTTTCCACATTGGAGACATCTGTTATGCAAATGGATACCTTTCGCAGTGGGATCAATTCACAGCGCAGATTGAGCCAATTGCTTCCACTGTTCCATACATGATTGCAAGGTTCTGCCTTTCTTTCTTACAAAGTTTTTGCATTTCTTGTTTACGGAGTCCTCAAAATTGACTCTGTTGCAGCGGCAACCATGAGCGTGACTGGCCCAACTCGGGATCGTTTTACCAGAGTTTAGACTCTGGAGGAGAATGTGGTGTACCAGCTGAGACAATGTTCTATGTTCCAGCTCAAAACAGAGCAAAGTTCTGGTACTCGATTGACTATGGAATGTTTAGGTTCTGCGTAGCTGACACAGAACATGACTGGAGAGAAGGAACAGAGCAATACGACTTCATCGAGCGATGCTTAGCGTCTGTCGACAGGAAAAAGCAGCCGTGGCTGATATTCTTAGCTCACCGCGTGCTCGGTTACTCCTCCACGTCGTTCTACGCGGAAGAAGGCTCTTTCGCGGAGCCAATGGGAAGAGACAGTCTTCAAAAGCTCTGGCAGAAGTACAAAGTCGACATTGCAGTCTATGGACACGCACATAACTACGAGAGAACATGCCCCGTTTACCAGGTAAAAACATAAATACATCAGAGAATTGATTCTTGGAAAGCAGAGTGATTTGATCGTTTCTGTTGCTTTGATTTTTTTGTGTGTAGAGTGTATGCACGAGCCATGAGAAGACTAACTACAAGGGTTCGTTGAATGGGACGATCCACGTCGTTGCTGGAGGTGGAGGAGCCGGTCTTGCTGAGTTCTCCGAGTTACAACCGAATTGGAGTCTGTTCAGAGATTACGACTACGGATTCGTTAAACTAACGGCTGTTGATTACTCCAATCTTCTGTTCGAGTACAGGAAGAGCAGCGACGGAAGAGTCCATGACTCTTTCAAGATATCAAGAGATTACAGAGACGTCTTGGCTTGTGCTTTTGATAGTTGCCCTGCAACAACACTCGCATCATAGAAGTAGAGAATCTTGCAACTGCTTCCAACTTGTTTCTATGGTCAAAACTCGAAATGTGATCTGATGAAAGGCTTTTTGTCGATTTGGTATAACAGTTGTAGTGATTTTTCACATCAATCATACGTACAGGCAAAATAGGTTTTACAGAGCTCTGTTCTTACATTACTCTGCTGAAATTCTCAAGCAAGAATCATTTGATCATTTGATAGATTCTTTTGATGTTCTCATGTATTACACCTAAAAAAGACATGATACAATCTTGATCTTCAACAAGATTGAGATTTTGGCATTTCATTCTTATAGCCAAAACATAAGCAGAAATCCAAAAAGATAAAAAAAAGTAGTAAAAAACAACTAGAAGATGAAACAAGAAGGGAAAAAGACGCATTGATCTTTCTAATTCAAAACGTCGAAGACGAAGTATTGACAACGATATGGCGAAGCGGACGGTCCACATCCCCTCCTCCGCCGTGTTTAACAAACTCGGCGGGGGTCAAGAAACTGCCGTGGCAGATGCACATGATCCGAACCTCCTCTCCTTTCCCGTACTTGTATAGAATCCCGTCGACGCGCCTCCCGTTTGGGCCGTCTCCTTTTGTGAAAACACACGGCATGTCGAACAAACCAGTAGCTGTGGCCGTCCCTTTGCCTTTCCTATCCACAGACTCATCCTCTCTTCTCACTCCCTTCTCACTCTCGTTCGAGTTCGAGTTCTTAGCTCTCGTCACACTCGGTTTCTCTGTTCCTTGGCTTCCGCTGTTAGATGAACATCTCGTCATTATCTTCGGGCTTCTCTCGTCCCCAAAACTGTTTGATGAAGCTACAAGACATATATAAGTTTTGTCACTGATCTGAAGACCAAAACAATGTTTAGTAAATCTTGAAAGCAAAATTGTAAAACCTACCTTGTTGATTTTTGTTGTCAAGTTCCGACAAGCTTGAAGAGGAGCCTCCTCCTCCTCCTCCTCCTCCTCCTCTTCCTCCGTCGGAATCAACACACACTTGACTATTAGAAGAAACCAAATGTCTCTGCAAAAACCCACTCTTACTCGCAGTGACCCATCTCTCAGTCTCAAACGACGCCGTTTGGTCATCAGAATTCCCAACCCTGAAGCTCTGTTTCTCGCATCTCCTCCTTTTAGCTTCCATTCTTCGGAGCGACTGCATCTCTTTCCTTTTCCTCCATTCCTCTTCCATCTCCGCAGGCAACGACGTCGTTCTAGCTAAACCCACCGTGTAATTCTCCGGCTCAACCTCGTTTTCAGCCGCCACCGTCGAACTTTCGAAGGCCACAGTGCCCAAAACCGAAGAAGATCGTTTCAGCTTCCTTGGAGTCTTATCTACTCCGAATCGACCTCCTAGAGACAAACCCAGATTCAGCTCAATCGCACTCTCATCTTCGCAGCCTGTTTCTCCACCGTGAAACACTCTTCCACCGCCGTTTTCGGAGATAAAACCTCGTAACAGATCTCTCGGGTGTTTATCTATGTCCAGAGAAAGATTTGTCGTCACCGTCATTTCTCTGTTCCATGCCCTTTGTTCTCTACTTGCTTCTTCCCCCATAGATTCCGAAACAACAGAAATGAAAAAGAAGAAATAAAAGGGAGTATTTTTTTTTTCAAGCTCTGAATTTTACATCCGGTCAAAATCTGCACTATGTCCTGAATTTCACAGAAAATCCCACAATTTCACAGAAGAGAAACAAACAATGGAATAAATCATAGGGGAAAAAGTAATTTACGTAAAGGAAAAAACTCGCCGGAGTTACCAGAGACGGCGAAGAAGTCGACGAGGTAAATCGAAAGTGAAGAGCAGAGACGGGGAAGAAGAAAAAGAAAACCCTTTTAGACATTAGAGATAAAAGAGAAAAAGAGAGATGAAGAAGAAGAAGAAAGAGAGACAGCCCTTGACTGAGAGGAGGCAAGTGGCCGCCGAGAGAGCTGCCTGAACGACACGTGGCCGGTGGATTACGTCGGCGTTCCATAGTGCTGCTTGAGGAAACGTGTCGTAAAGCGACTGAGTTAACCAGAGTTTCGACACGTGTCTATCAGGTAAAAAGATCCGTTTTTTCTTTATCTTTGTTTTTTTTGTCTCAGAACTTTTATTTTGTCTTGAGGGACATTAAAGTAAAAAAACTCGATTACCAGATTAGAAGGAAATACAAATTTGATTCCATATAAAGAAAATTCTTAAGATTGTTACCATTTATGAATATAATTTTAAAATGAAGTTTGTATTTGAGACACATACATAATTGAAGTTAATAAAATCTAGCGACTCGACAACGTCACTCACGTGGGTTGGACCGTGGGACCGACGAGGAAGCAAGTTGCTTGTGAAAAAGTGACGGAGAATAACACTTCCATGTAAAAGAAAGGGAGAAAAGGCAAATTCAATACTAGTAGTATTATACTAAATGACTAATATATAATTATAAAGTAGTATTAATGTAAAAAGTTTTCATTATTAACTAACCTTTTGATGGAGGAAAGGGGTCGATTAACCATACTAATCAAATTTCGGAAAAGTCGAGTTTATTGATTCAGTGATAGTTAGGTTGCAGAATGAAATCTACAAATTGAAAAGAAGATTTTTAGAATCCTTGGTGGGTCACTTTGTTGAGTCAAGTGGGGACCGTCGAGAAGATTTTTTAACCATAAAACCAAAATGACACGTGTCATTCACCCCTTGGTTCGTGTAATAGTACAACTGAGAAAAAACTATTAAATTACGACGTCGTTTGAAGACGATATTCTCTTTCCCATAACCCAGCCCATAAGGTAAGGGGTCTCCCATTTTGGACTTTAAAGTTTGTTTCCAGAGGATGTTTTAACATTTTTATCGAGTTGAAAACTTGAAATTGGTCCTGAAATTCCGGTTTACTTATGGTTTGGAAACTTTGGTTCGAAAACCGGTCGAAATCAAGCTTCAAAAAGAGAGAAGTGATCATATAAAAAAAAAAGTTATAATCCAATACAAAAACTCAAATGAATGAAGGGTTTATCGCTTAAGACTCAAGAGATAAAACCTACTCCAACAAAACTTTGATCTCTCACTCTCTTCTCTTCCTATAAAACTTCAGATTCTCAATTTCAAATGAACAATAACAACAACAACATCAGAGAGTATACGGAAAAAAGTCTAACTCTTTTATCTTCTGGATTGAGCACTTTCACGGCCAGCTTTCACCGTACCGTTCTGATAAACTTTGCCATCACCATTATTAGCCTCACCGCTGCGTGATTCGCCCCGTCTCTCATTTCCATTTCTTCCATAGCCTCGTCCACCACTAACACCATTGCCACGAGGCCTAAACCCGTCGTTTCTGTAACCATTCTCGCTCCCATAACCTCCGTTTCGCATTGATATTCTGCCGTTCTCATTGTTGCCTGCAGCAGAATCAAAGGTTTCGGTTTTTCTTTCCTAAAGTTGAGATCTTGGAGGAACAGTATTCACAAAGTAGTGAACTTTGCCTTTAAGTTACCTCGTTTTACTTCTATAGCAACTCTTCGGTTCCCGATTCTGATGGCTGACTCTCTGTGAGCCTAAAAGTTGCGTAATAAGACATCAGAAGACAAATTCTTGTTTATAGTAACAATATGTTTGTAAGAAATTTATCTATGTTTAAACATACCTCGAGGACCAACTTCACAGCTTCAACAGATTCATATGTCACAAAACCGAAACAGTTTCCCTTTAGCTGAAAAATGAAAAATACATATACAGAAGGTTAAAAAAATTTCAGAAGTGGAACAAATGTTTACTCTAAAAAGATCCATTCAACAACAACTCAACTCACCCTGTAGCTTCTAACTTGGATACCGTCTTTCTTAATAGCTCCGAAACCTTTGAATATTTCATTCAGTTGCTCGGGTGTAGCATCCATAGGCAAGTTTGCAACAAATATGCAACCATCCTCACCTGATCCATGACAATGGCAAAGTCATATTTGAGACATAGAAGAAACGAAAAGAAAACGTTTTTCCGGAAGAATGTTAAGCACACTGAATTAAAAACCTGGTTGGTCGATTGCTTCAGCAGGAGAATGTGCAGGAACTGGTGCAGGAGCTTTAGATTCGAGAGCAGCACTCGGCTTTCCAACAGGCTTAGGCTTTGCAGGAGAAGCTTTGACATTGAACGTAGCACCATTTTGAGCCGGGGATTGAACCTAAGTGTGTGTAAGTTGCCAAATCTTCTTTAGATTATATAAGCAGGATTGAGCCATATACATAACTGGATGATATTCGTGAGGACTCACAACTACTGCAAAGGATTTCTTGGGAGCATCCACACCGTTGCTGATACCATCCACAGCTTTTTCCTCCGGGGCTCTCGTATGTCCATTAGCTATAGCTCTTTCTGGTTTCTTCACCGCAACTTCAGTTGTCTGTTTCGCCACGTGTTCTTGAGTAGTGGTAGAAACTGGCTCTGCAACTTCACTTGCCGGTTCTGCTGATCAAAAACCGATAATTCTTATGGAAACCCCCACAAATGTTAATCTTATGTTATAGAACATATAGGCCAATATCAATACTCACCCAAGTTAGTGACTGTTGTTTGGACTACTTGAGGGATCGCCTCTTCGACAACTTCCTTGTTAGGTTCTGGTTCGTCAGAGACATATCGAAAGACATCGTTCAGCACAAAGTAGCTTCCTTTCTTCGGCACAAGGAAAAAAGATTGAGAAAATCTCATTCTTTTCCCATCTTTTACAGTCAGTAAGCCTGTGACCAAGGTAACAACTCCATTCTTGTACGAAGGTTGGGAATCAGCAGTTAAAATTTGAATCTTTGAGTTTACGTAATCAAATGACATGATCTGGTCATTGATAGCCTGCACACAAGATCAAAAAGAAAACTCCTAAAAGTCAGAAACTTTGATTCCAATTACGACTTAACAAGATTTGCATAAGTTGGAACACAAGAACAAACAGAGAATAGAGATTCAAAACAGTCGAAAAAATGTGGCTTACTTTCAAAGACTTTACAGAAACCATCTCTCCATCGGAACCAGGGCGCCCTAAAACGCTATCCTCAAGATAGAATCGATGCATTTCGGCTGGTGAATCGTATAAGTGAACGTAGTATTTCTGAACAAACGCATTCCCCACAATGTGTGGATCAACCAATGGAGCATTTGATTCGACTGCCATCACTACATAATCCAATAGATTCATTAGACTCAGAAAACAATAGAAAAAAAAAAACAAGTTTTGTGAAATTGGAACTAAAGAACCACGCACAAAGATAAAAACTTCACATCAATAAAATCCCCACATTGTCATTCCAATATACACGAATGCATTAATTCATAAATCTCAGTATTGCATGAGTTAATTGCATAGCATTTACAGAGAATTCCACAAGAAAGGGAGAGACTTTGAGGCAGAAATAATCAATCCAAATGGATATAATTCAAAGAACTGGAAAAATGAAAAAGATACGAACATCAGTGTATGAAACAAGAAGAGCAATACCTGGTAAAGATGAGAGGATTAAAATCTCAGATGACAGTGAAGAGAAGGAAGACAGAGGGAATGACACACGAGCGATGGCCGATGAATGTATATTATTAATATATATGGCTTCTTCTAGGGTTTTACTTAGAAATCTCCGACGAGAATTGGGATTTTGGTAAGGGCTTTTCAACAGATTTTTCACTAAAAGTATTCTGATTTTAGTCTCTGGTCAGCTTATGGAAATATGGCAAGGAGGGATTGACCATTGTGATTTTAGTATCTGGTCAACTCATGGAAAATATGGCTAAGAATTGATAAAAGCAAAAGAGGAAAAAAAGGGAACTCTATATTCTAGTATTAAAAGTGATTATTTCGGAAAAGCCCCCGGCGAGGATCGAACTCGCGGCCTTTCGCTTACGAAGCGAACGCAATACCACTATGCTACGGAGGCTTTTGATAACTCTTTTCCACATATTAATAAATGTCCATTAGACCCAAAACTGAGAAATTTTGGGTCTTCCAGCCGGCCCACCTATATCCTGTCCATTTGGGCCGGACCTGAATGGTTCGTGACAACAGCTGTTGTGGAGGGTATAATTTACTTTCTTATTTATTTTTTCTTTTCATCATCTTTTTTTTTCCTGCTCGAATTATTTTCATCATCTACAGATCATTTTTTTTTTTTTGTCACGACATCATCTACAGATCATTTATAGAAATAAATATCAATTAAAGAGATTTAAATTCAATTTAAATATACTACATGTGTCCTCTTTTGTTATTTGTTTTTTTATCACCATATAATCTTTTATTTAAAGTTATGTTAAAAATATGTTTTAAAAGGCTTCTATATTCAAACTTTGTATGGTTTACAAAAACATCATTTTCTGTAAAGAAAAAAACAACATAAGTTTCTAAATGGAACAATAAAAATATCATCAATCAAAAACATAATTTTCTCTTTAACTAGCGTGCTGAACATAATCCAAAATAAAATTATCCGTTTGTATACATGTTCTCATATTCGACATATCCTTCATAAACTTTAGATATTCATTTTATTATGTATGAGTTTAGTACTTGAAAACAAAAATAAAAACAAAAACCAATCTCTATATGTATATCCTTAACTACATGGCAAACAAGGGAAAGTGAACCACAAGATGATGACAGGAGAATATGATATGGTTGTGTTCGAACCGAACTATAAGTCTTATTCTTGTTAAGTGAATATAACTATAAGATCTCTCTCCTTGTCCCGACATTGACTTGATTGGCCTCTCACTTTCCACTTCCTTCTTTTGTTCTTACTTATTCACTCCAACGCGTTACCCAAAAATCCTTTTGGGTTCCACAAAGAACAGCTGGCAATACTCAATAGTGAAATATTCTCCTGATGTTATGTCTTTTTCAATTAAAAAGTAATTATAGAACATGCAACTTTTTTACTTAAACTGTTTTACAGTATTCAAAGAGAATAGTAATAGTTCTTTTCAATGTATAGTTGACTTCATTCTGAAAAGTTATCAAGTATATTTTTATTATTTCAGTTACGATGAATACAGTTGATTAGATGTTAGTCTTACAAAATTATAACTAAAAATTATGAAAACTAAAATATAATTTGTTTTTAAAACTGTAAACCAAAATGTAAACCCATTCTATAAAAATATAAATATAAATATTATTCCTTTTTTACAAAATTATGGAAACGGAAATATCATTTGCTTTTACTTAACTTTTTAAAAATATAAATAACATATTTTTAATGCTTGTGTATTTATTTTCTTTTTACAAACTAAATTTAAATTTAATTCAGTTGATTTTATATATGATTATAATTATAATTAATACCAATATACTTTAGATTAGAAGCAAATTATCAATATTTTTTAAACAAAAAATAAATTTTTATTATGATTTTTTCATAAACCAAAATTACTGATATTTTCTAAATATCAAAAAAAAATTTCAAATAATCTTTGTAGCCAAAAAAATTGCAGATAAATCATTAAAATTAGTTATTTATTTCGTTACCTATTTTATTAACATAAATATTTTGAATTGAAAAAATCAATTAATTTTGCAACAAAAAGTGTTTCTTAACAAAAAAAATTACAAAATTTGAGTTAAACATGATTTATTTGAATAATTGATTGAAACATTAAAACTGATAAAATATTCAAAGTTAGGATAAAAATATTTATTTAGACGCAGTGGCTGATTTATTGAATAAGCCAGCATAAATTAGAGTTAGTAATTACTAAAAGGAAAATAGAATCGAAGATAGTATCGATACAGTAAATGTGAAAGGGAAATGGACCTCGCTGTCAAAAATAATAAAATACGAAACAGTAATTAAGCTGTAGAAAGTAGCTGAACGAAACAGGCCTAAGCTACACTAGACTACATAACACATCACAGAGCTTTTACGTATAAAAATGTCAGCTCTGTATTTTCTTAATCATCACTGCCCTTTTGTCTACCCTTAATCTTTTTATTTTTCTTTTGTACATATATCCTAGTACAAGTATTTATTCATTTATTTATCTTCGACAACCTGTAAAAGAAATAAATTTAGCAATGTAAGTATTCAAAAATAAAAATAAAAGCTAAAGAGCACAGTGATTTGCATAGGGTTACAAAAATTACAAGGACCACGCGAGGGTTAAAATCACACGGCAAAGATTTTCTTTTACAATTATGATATTGATATTGACTCCACTACCGACTTGACTCGCTCCACGTGTCTCATAATTTAACTCGTTTTATTATTTCTTAAAATATCGTCGAATAGTTGTGAAGTTAAAAGCCTCCGAACGTTTGAGACCTTCAACGCATTGCCAATTTGCCATAAACGATCAGATTTTTTGTTTTTTTTTTGTTTTAATATTACTCTGTTCGTCATGTGAGCACGCTTTAGAATTTAATGCCAGATGTATTTACTGATATTTATGAGTGAAAACTAAACACAGTACGGCAGTTTTATTTTGTTTTTACAATTTGATTAGTAATTTATTGAATAATTTGGGAAAACCATTGTTATAGAGTGCAAATTCTCACTTTTAAATTATAGTATACTTCTTCATGAGATTGTAACTTTCATTTAACATTCCAGAATTTCAAAAAATTAAATAGAAGAAGTTTTGTTAATTTACTGTTTCAAATGTAAATTTTGCTCATATTGTCGTATATTCTTTTTAACGATTCTGCTATTTTCTGTAGGTGATAGAAATTATGATTGGTAATAAAGTGTATTCTTCGAATGGGATAGTGAAATGAAATAAGAATAACTTGATTAGATTAAAAATTTGAAAAGAAAGTTAGATTAAAATTTTCATAAAACGTTACGTTAGATTCGTATCGTTTAATTTTGTGGAATGACTGCCGAGTGTATATCACGATTCTATATTACTTTTTTGTTTTTGTCAACAAACTTTTAATCTTATTTTTGCATGATTTTGAACTTTATAAATTAAATCAAGTCGTAGGGGTACCCGTGGAACTAACAGTTATTTGTGATGGTAAAATCCTGATTCTACCGTTTACCGAGCGAAGCTAGAGTTTCTTCTTACTACTTCATAAAGATACAAAAAAACTTTTAAATATAATAATTGTACCATTAAATATTAATAAATCCGTACCATTAAAGGAGCTTTCGTAAGAGTGGGAAGGACGGCTGCGATTTTCGATTCTCTTCTTTAGCATTGTTTTCTCTTTTTTATGCGAGGTTGATATTCTTCCTTGATGTTAATTGTTAGTAGTATAAAAGTTCATTGTAGTGAAGTATTAAAAACACTTCTTATGTACGGCAGACATTCTCTTCACTTTTGATGCAATACTATTTGCATGGGATAACAATATTTCGCCATTTATTGAAAAAATTTGCCAAATTTTAAGCTTTTAAATATCCACGGAAACTATATGAATCACATTGTAGATTGTACTGCCTGCTGCTAATAACGTATAAAATTTGTTTGGTTTCGGTCAGAATTCAGAAACACTACAAAAACCAAATTAATATAACACAAAAAATATTTCAAATATATGACATCCAATAAAAAAATATTATTTTAAATGATAATGTGTGGTTGATAAAAAACAATTTTCAAAAATATTTCGTAAATAGCAAAAACACACCATTATCAAAGAATTACTCCACCATTCCATGACTTCATCAGTAAAGGCTATTGACACTCCTTTGACCTAAAAGACAGCATAATCAATGCATATACAAATTTAAAGAATTTAATCAAAATTAACACACCTAAACAGTAATTTATGATACATTAATAGTAAAATTAAAATGTTAGTGATGCAACCAAGTGACTATCTATTTAAACCCTTCCCATGCACATCATTCCATATCATCATAAATTCACAACACTTTTCTTTGCTCTCTCTCTCTCTCTCTCTCTCTTACATACACACACACACACACAGTCTCTCCTTCCAACCTGAGATGTCTCCCGAGGCTTACGTTCTGTTCTTTAACTCGTACAACCTGATCAGTTTCGAAAGCTTCGCTTGGATTTCTGTTTTCATAGCCACAGTTGCCTTCTTTTTGTCACCAGGTGGGCTCGCATGGGCCTGGACCAGGTCATCCAAGACCCGTGTTTCGATTCCAGGTCCCTCTGGTTCGCTTTCCGTCTTCTCCGGTTCTAATCCCCACCGTGTTCTTGCTGTACTTGCCAAACGATTCAAGGCCTCTCCTTTGATGGCGTTTTCCGTTGGGTTTTCGCGTTTCGTCATCTCCAGTGAACCGGATACGGCTAAAGAGATTTTGAACAGCTCTGCTTTCGCAGACCGGCCGGTTAAGGAGTCAGCTTACGAACTTCTGTTCCACCGCGCCATGGGATTCGCACCGTATGGTGGGTATTGGAGGAACCTAAGGAGAATCTCTGCCACGCATCTTTTCAGTCCGAGAAGAATCGCGAGTTTTGAAGGTGTTAGAGTTGGGATCGGTATGAAGATGGTGAAAAAGATTAGAAGCGTTGTTATGTCTGAAGCTGGTGGTGGTGAAGTCGAAGTAAAGAAAGTGATTCACTTTGGTTCACTGAATAATGTAATGACGACTGTTTTCGGTGAAAGCTACGATTTTGATGAAGTAAATGGAGATGGATGTTTTCTGGAGAGGCTTGTGAGTGAGGGATATGAGTTGCTTGGGATATTTAATTGGAGTGATCACTTTGGTGTTCTTCGTTGTTTTGACTTCCAAGGAGTGAGGAAGAGGTGCAGAGCTTTGGTCTCTGAAGTCAACACTTTTGTCGGTAGAATAATTGAGAAACACAAGATGAAGAGGAGCGGCAATATCAATGAAGAGGAAAATGACTTCGTTGATGTTTTGCTTGGCTTGCAAAAGGAAGAAAAGTTGTCTGATTCCGACATGATTGCTGTTCTTTGGGTAAGCTTCGTTTTTTTTTTCTTAGGACAAAAAGTTTCAATCTTGGAATGTGAATTATTTAGTATCTTAATTCGTTTATAAACTTTCAATCTTTTTTTAATGTGGGGTTTTAATTTTTTTTTTTGTTTTTCTTTCAGGAAATGATATTTAGAGGGACAGATACAGTTGCAATTCTAGTGGAATGGGTACTTGCAAGAATGGTTTTGCATCAAGACATCCAAGCGAAACTCTACAAAGAGATAGCTTCCGTCACAAGTAACAACACTAGATCCTTGTCTGATTCCGACATACCAAAACTGCCGTACCTTCAAGCGATTGTCAAAGAAACCCTAAGGCTCCACCCACCTGGTCCTCTCCTCTCGTGGGCCCGTCTTGCAATCCACGATGTACACGTAGGTCCCAACCTTGTCCCCGCGGGAACCATAGCTATGGTCAACATGTGGTCCATTACCCACGACGCCAAAATTTGGACCGACCCTGAAGAGTTTACGCCTGAGAGGTTCATTGATGGTGAGGATGTGAGCATCATGGGTTCGGATCTTAGGTTGGCTCCATTCGGGTCGGGTCGTCGGGTTTGCCCAGGTAAAACAATGGGTCTAGCTACCGTTCATCTCTGGGTTGCTCAATTGATTCAGAATTTCGAATGGGTTAAGGGTTCTTGTGATGTTGAGCTTAGTGAGGTTCTCAAGCTCTCTATGGAGATGAAGAAACCGTTGAAGTGCAAGGCGGTTCCACGGAATGTTTGTTTTGGTTGATGGATCCGAATATCTGGTGTATCGGGTCGGGTACTTGTTTAATTAACTACAATGAGTAGTCTCTTTTAATAATTAATAATATATGGTTGGGAAGGGAGTTAGGGTTTTTGGCACGTCGGTCGAACTTCGTTAGGGTTTTGGTGTCAACGTTTTTTATATTGCTTTGTGTTTGCTTCGTGTAACTTATCATATTCCGTCGCTTTGGTCTCGTGGCTTTTCCATAATTTCATATCTATAAAATTTCATATCTATGTTTATGCTATCGGAAATATATACTTAGCTTCTAGCAGAAGATCTCGAACTCTTTTGGGCCCTGCTATCTTAACTTTATTTATGCTCCATCTCGTACTAAATTTTTATCAGTTAAGCTAAATTCCTAGCTATTTATGTTATTAGTGGAAGGAATTGAAGACCCGGATGCCATCTTTTTACCCAAATGCAACTAGTCACAATATTTCATATATATTAAGATATTAGTTTATTTAACTAACATAATTATCGGCATTTAATTTCGAACTGGTAAGAACCAAATTAGTAAATTGTTCGCTAGGATTCCTTGTTATTCACTTATTTTTTAAACTCCTTTTCGATGAATCCCACTATCTTTAATAACAAAAAAATGTTTTTTGTTTTCAAATCCGAAAATTGAGTTGAATTGGTTGTTAGCCACGTAGGTACGTAGATATTTTAAGAGCAATGTAAAATTTGGTCACGATAACTATTTAAAAGTTACGTAACTTTTCTGGTCCAGTACAGTAGTACTTGTCATGTAACTATTAAAATTATATTTTAATTAATAAGAACATTAAACTATAGTGATAGGATCCTTCTTACTCAAAAGTCATACCAAAAGCTGAGTTTTGCTAGAAAGGAAACGATAATGATATGATCAATGATGACAGTATCACTTAATTAAGCTCGTGTTAGCATGTTGATCAAGATGATCCACTATCTAACATGTGAGTAAATCATTGGACATAAGGTTATTAAATGCCATATTGTAATATGATAGTAGATCGATGAGCAGCTTGTTTCTCTTCTTACACATGCTGATCCATCATTACGACATGATCAAAAAATATAATTTGGAAGGTGGGAAATAACCTAAAAATACAGCATACATATATATCTAATGTAAATATGGGTAATTTGTTATTTTTACATAAATATATAGTGTCTATTGAGCCTAAATTCATGAAATTCTCTTCACTTTTGTTGTCGATAAAGTATTTCTTCAGCAATTTAAGAAGAAGATGTCTCTTAAATACATTTTTTTTTTCTGCGAAGTCTCTTAAATACATTAATTATAACACAAAAAAAACAAAGCAGTCTCTTTAATTGACGCTATGTTCTTTTTATTCGCGATGTTTTAAAGATGCATAGTTCGTTTAGTTTGAAGAGCAACTTAAACAGTTTAAGTGGTCAATTGTGTAGTCTATTAAACGGTTTAGACAAATCGGCAGATAGAAGTATATTAGTCGTCTCGCATTTGATGTTCTGGTCTCGATATGAGAAGTGAAAACTCATTATTTGTATCATTATTGATGACATATAAATACGCGATCTTCATTATTTAGACCATTATTTATTATAATATATATTTATAAATAACTAAAAAGTATCATTTTTTTTTTTGGGCAAATAACTAAAAAGTATCATATTTTGATATAATTGAGTGTAGTGATACTGAAATACTACATATTTCATTTATATATAGAAAATAACATGCAATAGAGGAATCTAGAAATAACTACTGTAATTTCTGAAAAAATGATGTTATCTATATCAAATTTGAATTCGTACACTCTTTCACATCGACTATATATTAACCGCTTTGTTACGTTAGATGTTAGGTCTCAGTACACCTAATCCCTTAACTTTTCTTCAACGTTTTTTTTTTGTTCTTGTGAACTGTCATTTGTCACATTTTTTGTTAAAGGTCATTTGCCACATTATTAACCATATATTCAAAGGTACAACAAATAAATTTAAAATGTGCTCCAATGACGTAGACAAACAATGAGAGAGAAAATATAACAATCATAGTTCGAGATATTCTCTCTTTCTTTCTTTTTTTCGAAGAATATTGTTTGTCCGATAGGACCTCAACACCATTTAAAGGTTTACAATAAAACTAATTCTTATCAACATAAATTCTTAATGTGTATATGGATTAGACAGAATTTGTGACTCATTTTGTATTAATATATACTACAAGATCGTATCCTCGACGTTCCTCTTTTTTATTTATGAATCTTCTAGTGTTGATTAACAACTCATGTGTACCCCTAATAAATTATACACGAAGCATAAGAGCATACATGGGAAAATCCCATCAGGAAAATAGAAGGATCCTGTTTTGGCCATGCTCCTGTCCGTATCTCGTTTTCTTAAATCTGTGTACCATATAAATAAGAATCATGTACATGACTATAATGTTAATATACTGTGTATGTTTTTGTAAGAACTGATGCGTTTCTTGTTTTGCCACATTTTAATAAGTTCTTGTAAATGCCTGAGAGTACGTGGTAATTCATTCATTGAAAGTTTTATCGTTTCATGTGATTGGTAGTTCGTCTACGTAATCACATTATAAATAGATTGATTTAAAAAGAGACTTAAATAAATGAAATGAATTTAGAATGTTAGGAGCGGTGACGTGTTCTTATTATCTTTCAAATCATTGAAAGATTGAAGTTTAAGACTATTTGTTAGCCTTCAACTAAGGATTAATTAGCCTTAAATAAAAGAGGTAGGTTTTATGCTTTTGGAAAAGAAAAAGATGTTCCCCTATTGTATATATACCAGTTCGACAATAATATTGCATTTATGAGTTATCGATTGTTCATAAAAACACGTTATACTTGGAATACTTAATTGATGATAGTATGTATCACAATGTAAACTGTCGTATGTAACGGCTGATATCGGACATATAAAAAAAAATCGATCGATAGTGCTATAAACTTCTCATGAACGAAATAAAAATCAAAGATATACATTTTAGGATTTGGATATCCAATAAACAAAACTTAACATTAGTCCAGAATAAGTGCAAGTTGCTTTCCTTCCCGTCTCTTTCTTTCTTTAAATTTCCACATTCCCTTGCATCGATTCTTCTTCTCCTTCAGTATAGATATGTCTGATTCACCACAAACGGATTGGGACCAAAGAATCGATGAAAGACACATGTGTCAAAACGGACAATTGTGGCGGGGTTACAAATATATGCTTTGTTATAAGACATACTAGGTTAATAGATATAAGTTCTTAAGATCGTAGAATGCTCGTTTAAATTTTGTTGTCAAAATGTTGTGAGTGAGAGTTATTCTTTTTCAGGTACTAACTACTGTATATAATGCGAAATAGCTGTTTAGAATATCATTATGTAATACTCACCGTTTCTAACTTTCTATAGTGTAATTCCGTATCTTTCACCCACTCTTCGTCCGTCGAATTCACATTATTTTGTTACTAATTAAAGAGAAAATATTTAAAAACAAAATGTGTTGCGAGGGGAACAAATATTATAATAAATTGTCGCCCACGGGTTTCTTTATCACGCAATATGGATATGACTGGTATAGTAACATTTAGTAACAACTCATAACAACAACAAAAAACTCTGGTCTCTGGTGAGAACTGAGAAGTAACCAGTCGAACAACAAGTTATGTAAAATAATATTTCTTTAAATTTTATCTAAAAGTGACGAAGAATATGAGAATTGTCCCACCTTCCACGTAATTTTACTGCTGCAAATATTATTATTCTAAAATTAGCTTTTCCTTTTTCATATTTCTTTGTTCCCAATCCTTTACCAGTCAGGCTCTATGTTTATTTATTTATTATTTTAAACTGTTAAATAAAAGTAGTAGAAAAGACAGTACATTCAAAATTTGATCAAAATTCTATATGCATTGCAATTTTTATAATCTCCACTAATTTTTCTTATGTTCATTTTATATTACAAGTTCCTCCCATCGTATACTAACCATACATATATTTTTTTTGGCTAAAGGATATTTACTTTTCTTTGTTATGTTCAATCTATCTGTTATGCAGAGATTCACCGTTAGTTCAGATGTCATTCAGACCTTAAATCTTCAATTTGACTGGATGTTCCAGATATACATAATAATCCAAATTCTCACCTAGCTAAAGGAATCTGCCAAAAACAAATTAAAATTACCCTATATATGGGCATCCGGTAAATTGGAGATTTTTCTTTTGCAATGCTAAAAATTGAATTCAACTTCTACTCTCCAGATTTCCAAAATCGTCATCTACTAAGAATATAATGATAAAAAAATAGGGAAAATCTTTTGGGCTATAAATCATTAGCCCTCTTGGATAATCTCTGCCTCTCATTGGGCAAGAGAATTGGATCCTTTGTCTTAGGGTTGTAGATACTAATTAGATCATTAATTATCTATGCTTTTGTTGATTTTCAAGTGGCTTAATTAATGATTACGATTCTTTTCGTAAAGCCGAATTTGGATGCTTTTGTTAAAGCCAAATATTCACTTCCAACTTAAAACAATCCTGACTTAACATTTTTAAAATACAATAAAGCCCAAAAGGCTATGTATTTTCTGCGCCACTCATTACTCAAAGGCACTTGCAAGAATATAAAAAAAATCAGCTATATATATATCGATCGATTTACCCACAAGTATGACCGAATTTATAAATCCCAAATCGATCATCAAGCCATAGTAATCTTACATATTATGTTCGTAAATAAATTTGGATAAGATTACTTCATTATCATATGCTTTTTAGTTTTTAAATGTGGACCAAAATAAACCATAAATAAAGTATTAAAAAGTCATGTCATATTTATACGGAGCTTTGTTTTGCAGCTTACCCCCAAAAAACTAATATGATATCTTGAAGTTTATTTATATTCACACAATTTATTTATTTTCACAACATACACATTACAAGAAATATTCTTAGAATAATATTTTTTATGCCTACAACTCAGACAAGTTATTAGGGACCGGCCCGGTAGTAGTACCAATCTTTATAGTACAAACTTTGGTTTGAATAAAATTTATTTTCTGTTTGATGAAAATCTCATATATATAATTCATTTTTTTTTTAAAAACGATGCAACTTCTTTTTTTTTTTTTTAACCTAACGATGCAATTTCTTCTTTAGTTTATTACGTCCTAAAGAAGTTCAAGCCTTATTAAAACGACGAAATAGATACCTTGTTCTAAACTTCTAATTTCTCTAAACTTTTAATTTTAATTACTCGACTTGTTTGTGATTTATCCAACAATATTTTGAGAAGTTCTAACACTTTCAATATTT